GAAGAGCGGGCAGTATCCAGGCAAAATACAGGGTGTTTGGGATTGGTGCTGCCTGCACTTCTGCCTGCCATAGCACTCCAAATATAGCTGGCCAGCAGAAGATTTTGGTCCATTAAGTGCTTTGCAGCTGATGTCTGTGACAGGCCTGGGTTTACTTAGCTGTACTCACCTTCCTCCTCTTGTGAACTTCCCTGTGAGGCCAGTGTCCTTCTCCCTGCACAAGCATTCACAGCTGATGTGGAGATGACACATCTGCCTGTCAAGCCTCTGGACCTTGGGACTCTCCTGAGTTATTGCAGCTAGTCAGCTTACTCTGAATAGGAAAAACAGATTCCTGCAGGGAATTTGGGGTTCAGAATTCTTCCTTTCTTTAATTTATTTTTCTTTAAATAAATTGAGGGAGCTTCAGCTATTCCACTGACAGGAAATGCTGAAGGATATATCTCAAATCATTTGCTCAGATCTCCAGGGTATGGGGGTTTATGAAAGGTTTTTGCTATAGACTCTCCACCAGCTCTGGGAAACATCTGTTCTGCATTCTGAATGCATTTTCCCAGCAGAAATTGTTTTAATAAAATCATCACTTTTTCTGTGCTTAGAAAACCAAGTGAAATAAAGTTTTTCCTATGCTAAACAGTTCTTGACCAGTGGTTAATGAAGTTAAAAACTGCATGTAACATTGTTTGACTTATCTTGGTTTTCCAGGAGCTTCTCTGATGGTCATAATATGATAGAACTCACCAGAACTGGAACTCTAAAGAATGACTACTTGGTTTTGTTGGTGCTTCATTGCAGTCTCTGTTTGAAATCCAGTCTCTAAGCCATGGCGTGTGAATAGTCTATATATTGAGTGAGACTGTGAAAACAGGGTGTTCTAATGCATAAGGTAGGGGAGGTAAAATCGTTAATAATTTTTCAAAAGTATTTTTTTCATCACTGTGTTGTGACCCAGCTCTGAAATGGCCTTTTCTCCACGGTGAGATATATTAGAAAAACTCTTGCTACGGTTCGATTCACCTGAGAGCAAATAATTATGTGCACAGCCCAGTTACTCTCTGCTAAATCAGAAAAATTGGAAAATCTGTCAAAGTCCTCAGTGCTGACTGTGGACTCCTTTGTCCTCATCAGAGGTGATGAGCATATGGGTGGTAACTATCTTCAAAGTTCAGCTGTAGAACCCTTTTCCTGTGTGAACAGCAACCAGGAAAGGGAAAGGAAAACTCTATGAACATGAAGAGATTCTTCATTGGTCTGGAGAGGAAAAAGTATCCTGGCTTGGACCTGTTCTGAAAGTGGTTTTTTGATTTTAATGGGAACTTTTACAGTTTGGAAAAAAAGGAAGTGTTGCAAGCTTCATACCATCCAATTTCCCATGCAAGAATATTCTGTGTTCTCAGACTGCAATTTTTCAGACAACTACAATTCCTATTCTCCCTAGTTGGGTTTCAGACTAACATCATAGATAGGCATCATTTGAAAATGAAGCTTAACTCAGGATAGACTGATGTTTCTCCTTTGTTTCAGTTGGGTAACTCCTCCTGCCTCAGAGTAGCATTTTCCAATGAAAGCTCAAAGATGGATGGTGCTAAAATGTTTTAGAAGTCAGCTGCCCCTCAAACAGCTTTGAGGTCTTAAATGGTCCAAGTAGGAGGGTGGTAGGTATTTCTGGGCCAGTTACATGCATTCTGATTCACCAGCAGGCTGCTTCACTGCTTTGCCTGGCTTTCCTCTTCGTTTTTCAGACAAGAATCTCTTCTTGGTCCATAAACAAATGGAAGAAGCACAGAAACTTTAGCTGGCAAGAGATCTGTCCCCTCTTTGGTGATTCAGACTACCTGGGCTTAAGCAAACAAACCAAACAAGAACATGCACAGCAATAAATACCTTCAATCCTGAATTCCATCTTGTAGAAGACACATTTTCAGGTCTGATATATTACTACTTCTCCAAGTCCCACCCTCTCTTACTGGAAGTAAGGGTACTGAATGGAGCCTGCTTCTTGCTCTTCCTTCAGGCTGCACATCTTTTGCCTGTGCTAGTGGTGCAATAAACTACAAACAGTATAGTTTTGGTGGCATGCTTTGTGCTTTCTCTCTCTCTTAATATCTTGTCCTTTATTTTGGTTTCGGCTGAACAACTTGGACTTCATTTAACAAAATTGAATTTTCATTTTCCTCTCCTGGGAGAGTGAGAGAAACTGCTTTCTTCACAACAATGCCCCAGCCTGCTGCTTTCTGCTTCGCCGGACCCTTACCTACCACCTCAGGCTGCTTCTAGTTCCTGAAAACAGTTTATGCACCTCTTCTTCAGCCATGCTTGCAGACATGGTGGCTTTATCTCAGATTTATGGTTCTTTCAAGCTACTGGACATTTCCTTCAGTTAGCCAAGCTCCCTTGGCAGTGCTCCTCTGTGAGAAACAGAAAAACAAGTTGTTGTACAAGTGCACTGTAGGTAGAAGATGAAATATTCCTCAGCCTGGGTAGAGAATCTCTTTTGTGCCTCTGTCAGGTCATGCACAGGAATTAAGTTACCTAGTTAGGGGGGTCCAGTGGTGTTCTGCTGGGGTTGCAGCTGTTAAGTAGGACAAATTATTAGGAAGAATTGAATTACCGCAATGTTGAGGTTAAGAGGGTTTAGGAGATCTAGTACAGCTCTCTGTATGGAGACATGAGCTAACAAATTCTCTATCTTCAACTGATTGTTGGAGAAGTAGATAAAACTCAGACTGAAGAAGGATGAGTGCTGGTCTAGCATAGCAGTGGGTAAAAGCAGTGAGGATGAAAGTGATCCTGGGGGGCTTGTTAACTGCGGGAAATCCATTAAAGTCAATGTCATGTCTTTGTGGGATACCAAGCCTGCTTTGATTGGCTTTCCACAGAGCACAATGTCAAACTGGAAATCTCCCTTCTCCTCTTCAGTGTTTCCAATGATAATGGGCTTCAGTACCTGCATGGGCATTTCATGCTCTGGAGCAGTAACTGGAATATGTTCTGCTTTTGGATGTGACGGAGTAGTCTGACAGAGAGGTACCACTTCAGGAATGTGTTGAGGGGACAGCAGGACCTACACATTACCTGCAACCTATGTGCAGCTGCTTCCAGATACAAGGTGCATTTCTTGGCTTCCTTATTTATTGTTAATGGCATACCAGTTCTTCTGGGATCCTACATTAGCCCTCTCTTGGAAAGAATCAGAAGAGGACTAAATGTCTGTCAAGTCACTTTAAGTTTTGGGATATCTTTAGGTGTCATGATGATAGGAAATGTCAAAAAAACTCAAGTGAATCAGAAAAGAGTCTTCTAAAATTGTCATGTTTGATTCCAAACACCCTTGTGAGACACAAGGCTGTGGGTGCTCTCTGTCCGTATGAGTGAGATTAGAGTTTGAAAATATCTGTATATGTGCACCCCCATATCTGGCCTTTGTATAGTGCTCTCCCTTTTCATGGGCTGCTATAAGAAAAAATATGCAAAGATGTTGTAGATTTCATTAGTCACACTAGTTTATTCAAACCTCTTCTTTGCATAAGAAACCAAGGCCTGCACTGATCTCTGGGAAAGAATGTGCTCACAGCTTGGAAAAGCCGTGTGCTCGAATGGCACCGCGGCACAGCAGAGGTCAGCAGCTCGGGCACAGGAGAGGGGCCCGGCTCTAGGGTTTGGTGCCATCATTTGCAATTCAATCCCATGCAGCTCCCTCTTAGGAGAACAATTCACTAAATGCAGAGTTGTTCTTTTTCCCTAATTCACCATATAATTCACCTCCTAAGTTCAATTAAGAAGCAATCTGTTTGTGACTGGAAGCAAGCTGCATTTATTTAGGAATACAGAATTATCCTTTGCCTCAGCAAAGACTGCATGCCTTAATAATTCTAGTGATGAATGGCTAGTTGGGGTTTCCTTTAAATGGAATGAGATATTGTGTGAAGAATAGCATACTTTGCAGGGGTGGGGGTGGGAGAAATCCTGGGGATGTAAAACTGAGAGGATGAACTTTTGTTGAGCTTGGGCTTAAGGAAATGACGAGGACTGGGCATGAAAGAAAACAAAAGGAAATCTTAGGATGGGACATTGAAGCTGGAAAAGAGTGATAGAGTTCAGAGCAATCCATCTTGTTGAATCAGGCTTGTTCCTGTTCACACATCTAGTGGCTTTTGTCCAGCCAAGCTCTGTTAAACTATGGCACTTCCTTTGGGAGACAAACCCCTGATTTACTGTGTCTCTTGGACCAGGAAACTCTAACCTATAGCCAGCTGAAAGTCTAGGTATTCTATTTTCTTTTTAATTGTTTTGTAACTATCTTTTATCATAATTTTCCTGATACTTGTATCAGCTATAGTAGTCTAATGTTGGAGATTTGTTACCATCCTCTCAGTCCTTCTCCAAGTTGCCAGAGATATCCCTTTGGATATCCCCGTTGGACAGGCTGGAGAAGGATTTGCTAGAAGCCAGCTCCAGAGCAAAGGAGAGTTTTCCAGCTGGCAAAGCAAGACTGCTTCAGTGACTGGAAGATGTCCAGCTGTCTTGAAAGTGAGACATCCCTCTTGGAAGTGTCCACACTGCATCCAGCAGTGCTGTATTACCAACAGTGTATTCTTTTCTGCATGTGGTGGTTTGCCATGCTCTATCTTGCCACCAACACCACAGAAACTTGCTCTTGCAATACCTTTATAGAGATCAGCTCATTCAGCTCCTACTCTCATTAAATCTCCATGAAATTAGCCTTCCCTAGAAGAGACTTTCTTCTTATTTGGTATATGGAGAAACTTAGGCATGGTATAGTAATGAGTTGTAAGTGTCACTGTAGGCTAGGAACAAATCCAGGAGAAGTGCCTAACTTTATCAAGGGTTTAGTCCCTGCTCCCTGAACAGGGAAAGCAGACAGTTTCTGTGGCCAGCAGACCCCCAACTGGCATTACTGATAGCTGCTGTCCTTTCCACATCAGAGCTCTGCCAGCCAGCTCACCAGGGATGAGTCTCTGCTCTTTTTTCCTTTGCAGGAGGCCTGGGAGAAGAGGTGTCAAATGAAAATGCCACTTCAACCAACCACAGTGACAAAGCAGTTATAAAGGGTAATGTGGTACCCCACCCAGACCTTTGGGTATCTTTTATTTACTTTTCTTACCCTCTGTAAAAACGTGTTTTTGTACTGATTGTATGTGTGTGTGCCTCCATGCCTGGGAGATCAGCCCTGCCCAGCCATTTTTTGCTGTTGGTGAACTCTCTGAAGGGGTGGGTTTGCCTTGTATAATGTGGTGGGTTGACCTCATCCAGAAGCCAAGCACTCAGTCACTATTCCCCTCCTCCAGCAGGAGAGGTGAGAAAGCAGGAAAAGCAAGAGTGAGAAAACCCATTGTTTGAGATAAAGACAGTTTAATAAGTGAATGAAAGGGGAAAAAATAACCACAGTGATGTAGAGGCAACAGCTCACCCCCACCCACAAGTAGCCCCTGCTAGAAGAATGTGTCAGGCCTCTCCAGACAGGAGAATTTAACAGATTTCAGTTGTTAAAGGCAGAAAACTACCTACTAAGGAGCAGTCAAGAGCTGTTGCAGGACTGGTGAGAATTTGCCCAAGAGTGTGTGTTGCTGGCAAGGAATGGAAGTGTTGTGGCACAGAAGTGTGAGCCCAGAGGCCCCTGTGCAGGGCTGCTGCTGCACCAGGTACAGGAGAGCCCAGGGCAGACATCTCCTCCCTTGGGTTTGCTATCAGGAGCTGTCCATGTAGGCAGCCCAGGAGCAGTGTGTGAATAGAAGACAAGACGACTTCTATCTTGAGACCCTCTCTCTTCTTCTAGCTGTGGCCCTTTTAATGCCAATGCCTGTGCTGGTACTAGGTACCACCAGTACCAGGTATATGCAGGAGGGTGATTCTTCCTTTTTTGGGAGAACCCCCAACCTCAGAGCATCTGCCTTCCAGGATCCAGCAGCTGGCTTGGGGATGGGGCAGCTTCTGAAATGGCAGGAGGGTGCTTAGGAGTAAGGGGAACAAAAGGCAAATTCCCGGTTTTGTCCTGTAGCTCAGAGCAAGGTCTTCAGCAGGAAGGGCTTGACCTGGTGAAGCAGGAGGGAGGGTTTAAAGTTCATTCTTTTCATTCCCTTACACTGCCCGAATTTCCTTCCCATTGTATTGATCCCCTCAGCCTTGACAGTAGTGGTTTGCTTACTGGTGTTGCAGCTGGAGGGATGAATAGGTTAAGAGGCTCTCAGCAGCCCCCCTGGTCACTAGAGGAAGGTCTTAGCAGGACCTGTGCTTCTTAATAACCCAGCAGCCCATGTCTCTGACTTGGAGAGCAAAGCTGTGGCCAGACTTGCTGATTTACATACAAATTGCCATCCTCATGGGCTTCACAGCGGTGGCTGGTGAGCCGCCATCAGTAGTGCTGCTCCTCAGGGTGACGAGGATGTTCGCCTTGGTGTGACCCTTTAGGCCAGCACTCGCTGAAGGCATAGCAAGCCCTGTACTCTGTTATTCCTGAGCCCTAGTCCAGCTGATGAGTTGGCTGTGCAACACAGGGAACTTAGCTAACAAGTGGTGTCTGCACACAGAGGTTTGTAAGGCTCACCCGGACTGTGGCTGCTTTGAGGGATTGAGTTGCCCATGGCGCTTCAATTAGTGAATGAACAACCAGGAAACTTTGAGTAAAGGACTTTTTGAGTAAAGGTGCCAGCCCATTAAAAGTGCAACTCATGTAGGCATAACCAGTATCTGAACAGAGCTGCAGCAGCACAAATGCAGGGCAAGGGACAGGGCCTGCCTAGAAGCCTGTATGAATCCTCTTGCAGATTTCAAGGCCAGTGGTGAACACCACACAGCCAGGGCTCCTCTACCCTTTGTAACAAGAAATGAGATGTGTTCTGCTTTCCCTTTTGTATTTTTGCTCCTTTTCATTAAAATGAAGAGATTCAGCATGGATGGAGATCTACGCTTCTGTTTTTCCCATCTTGAGCATCCCTCCTCCAGCAGAGACTGTCCGGTCTTTATAGATTTCCAAACCACTCAAGACCTGGTATGTGAAACCAAAGTAATGCTTTTTAGCCTTGAGTACAGATTTCAGTGTTAGGGGTTTGTCACCTTCTTCCAAGGCCAACTCAAATGAGTAGTTGCTGCTGTGAATCTGTTCCTAATAGAGCAAACCATTCTCTGCAGATGAGTGTATAGGTAGGGCAAGTTGAGCATATACAGTGACATCTAGGCTTGACTCCCACCTTCCCCTAAAGTGTGTCCCCATCTGCGAAGTTGTTGCAAAGGGAATAGCTAGAGACAGGGAAGGATGTGCTTTTACATCCTAATGGGAGAATAGCTTTGGCATGGTGCATATGGAGGCTCCAAAACAATAAGGGTCAGTTTCCTATAGATTAGCAGTCTCAAAGGCCAAAAAAAAATCACTGACAAATCTGGCTATGACTTCTGATTTGGTTTAATACCTTGCTTTTTCTTTTTTATCTTTTTCTGAAGCTCCAGGGTATTGCCTGAGGGCTGCAGGTGGAACTAAAGAGGATTTAAACAGTTTGCCACTCTGTCTTGCAGACGGCAGGCAGAACACAACGCTCACAAGGAGCCCAAAGGGGAAGGAATCCGAAGATGAGTCTGGGATGGATGCACACTCCTCTCCCAGAGTGCGCAGGGCAACCACGTCCAGGGCGGAGAGGATCTGGCCAGGGGGGGTCATCCCCTATGTGATCGGAGGAAATTTCACTGGTCAGTAGTGAAAACACTGCTTTCTGTTTGTGTCTCGAACTGGCTAGGAAATCTCTGGAGCAGAGTTCTCCCACAAAAGATTCAGGTCCTTGGGAATCTGTCTCCTGAGGTAGGGTGAGTGTGTCATTGCACAAGGAGTTGTGCATTGTGGAAGCCTGAAGCTGAGGTGTGCAGTGAGATGGTTCTTCTCTTGGAGTCCAAGAAATACTTGAGTGTCTGAGTCACTTTTCTTTAGAGGCCAACACCTGTGATCTGTGCTCACCCCATTTTTCCAGAAGAGAATCCTCTCTGCTGTTGAAAGAGCAGAAGCAGAAGTACTCTGGGTGCCTGACAGTAGTTTTGCCTTCATTTTGAGGAGCACATTCCTGGGTCTTGAAAGATGTATGTGGTCATTACTTCAAGTCATGACAGCAAATTTGGCACATCACTTAGTAGCTGGCGTTCAGATCAGAACACCTGGCAGCTCTGCCAGAATGGCCTGTACCTAGAAAGGTGTCATGTTTTATATTCACAAATATTGAGATACTTAATATGTAAAGTTTTCTACCTGTTTAATTAAAACAGTAAATTCATCAGGCACAAGGAAAGAACAGATGATACAGGAAAGTAAGTAATGCTATAGCTGGAAGCCCCAGAGTCCAAGAGGTGTCTACAGGCATAAGATTGGCTGTTTGAAAGGTTAACTCTTCCCATATCCAGATGAAGTCTGTTAGAGATTTTCCTAAAAGGCAGGCTTTCACTGTTTGCTCCTCTTGATTTCTTTTCCAGGAACCCAAAGAGCTATCTTTAAGCAAGCAATGAGGCACTGGGAGAAGCACACTTGTGTGACCTTTGTGGAGAGAACTGATGAAGAGAGCTTCATTGTGTTCACGTACAGAACGTGTGGGTAGGTGATGCACACATTCCCTGCAGCTCTCTGTTGCAAACAGCACTTTCAGCAACAACTTTCAGCTTTGTAAGTCTAGCCCAGAACACACCAATGGCTAACTTGGAGAATCTGTCATGGAGATGCAGCTGGTCACTTTCCGTGAGGACTGCTAGGACAGTTTAGTATTTGCTCAGAAGGTGCTAAGCCTTTCTGGATTCTTTTTTCCCGGGATAACACTTAAGTATACATGTGTGTGTTTATATATACACATGTTTTTCCTTTATGTTTGCTTTGTACTTACATGTGAGTAGATATAGTATATGCAACTGCTGGCCTGTCCTGAACTCTGCCAGATGCCATGCTCTGTTCCTGTGTTTTAGAGTTCCTCAAGTCACTGATGTGCTGCATGTGTTTGTGGGTTTTCTTTTCCAGGTGTTGCTCCTACGTGGGTCGCCGAGGAGGGGGCCCTCAGGCTATATCCATTGGAAAGAACTGTGACAAGTTTGGTATTGTGGCTCATGAGCTGGGTCATGTGGTGGGTTTCTGGCATGAGCACACACGGCCTGACAGGGACCAGCATGTCACTATCATCAGAGAGAACATACAGCAAGGTAAAACCAGGCTGCAGGTTATTCCACCTGGCTGTTGGCTGGGTAGAAACCTTTCTTGCTACACTTGTGGAAAATGCAGGTGGTCTGAGGGTTGAGATGGAGAAGAAGAAATATTGCTGTCCTTGTCTAGAATAAGGGTCAAAATAGCTATATGAATAGAAATTTTGGAATTGTTGAAACAGAGGAGCATATCCATTTCATTGTAGGCTCCCACAGGTAAAGGGTTTTTCGTTTTTTTTTGTCTAAGAGTGGTTTGTTTCTTTTCCTTTTTGTCATCACAGGTCAGGAGTACAACTTTTTAAAGATGGAAGCTGGGGAAGTGAACTCACTTGGAGAGACCTATGACTTTGACAGCATCATGCACTATGCTAGGAACACATTCTCCAGGTGATAATTCAAGGTTACATGTCCTTAGGACCATTTTTGGTAGTTGTGGTTGACTCTGTGGGTTATATAGAGCCTAGAAGGAGACCTCTGATCTGTTGCTGCATTGTAAGGCTCGAAAAATGTTTAAAAAAGCAAGGGTGGCTGGTGGACTCCTGTTTTTCCCTTTCCACTATATTTACTCAGTAATAATACTGGTAATCTGAGAGAGTTTCCAAAGCCTTGCTGACATCCTTTGCAGCCTTCCCAGGCAGCACATGTGTGTGTATCTGCCCATGTGCACGTTGGGTAATACTAGGGCAAGCTTTGAATCTCTTGGTTGTCCAGCTTATGCTTTGGAGTCACAATACATCCATCAGAGTCTGTAGTGGTTGTGCTGAGGGAGAGCTGAACTCTAGATCATGATCTTTAATTGCTTGGGTGGTTTTTTACCCATTTATGCACGAGTTTTCAATCATGGCCTCTGCAGCTATGTGGTTCTGTGTGACTGGGTTTTTTCAGGAAGGAGTTATCAGTCCTGCCCCAGCTAAGTACCAGTTTCTGCATCAGCTGTTAGTCCTTGACTCCCATCCCACACCTCCAGATGAAGCCCATTTTCTGATCAGACTGCTCTGCTGGAGACAGAGGTGATATAAACATGGTTATGTCCTGTATTTGGAATGAGAGTTACTGGATGACCAGATTCATTTTGCTGCATTATTAGAAATTTTCTTCCATAAATCCTACTGTTGCTCTTTCCCAAGAGCTTTCTGTCACTACAGACTGCGGGTAAAGGGGTTGGAAGGTACAGCAGAAGTATTCACACTCTTGGAAAATTTTTGTTGAAAATTTAAAGATACCTTTGTGACTTTTAAAATTTTCTTACTCCCCAGTTCTATTGAAGGGCCAAGCCTGTTGTTTTGTGCTTTTCATTTGACAACTTCACACCAACCAGTAGAAAATTGTCAAACATGCTGAAATGCTGCTTCTTGTGGCAGGAGGAGGTGGTGTCTGGGCAAGGGTGTTTTGCAGACTTCACAGATATCCAGAGCAAACAATTTTTCTTCTCTTGAAGCATCTGCTGGACCTTCCCAGCGTTTGCTAAACTATAAATGGTTAGAATTGTCTTGCACAAAAGCAGGATTAAGTTATTACCACCATTTATATTGTGGAGGCCTTTGAGTCTGTGTCTCTTGAAAACTAGGGTCCTTCAGAGCACTGCTGGGCCAAAATGGGATAAAAATGGCAAGAGTCCTACTAGATTTAAATTGGTGCTTGATAGGATTTTTAAGTCTGTTTTCTTTAAGCTCTTTGTCACTGTGGCCCACCCTTGCCCCAGTTGCAGTCTTTGTGCAGCAATTGAACTGAGCACTAAGTGCCTCTGTAGGCTGATTGTGCTCTCACCACAAATAAGCAGTGCTGGAATAGGCTTTTACTTTGCCAAGACCTGTCTTGACATCTGCTCCCCTAAGGGACCAATGCATTGACCAGCCAGAGAGACTGGTGGGTGTATGCCCCCAACCTTCCCACCTCACTGAGGTTTGCCAGTGCTGTCCAATTGCAACCCAAACTGACAAAAGCACAGAGTCCATGAAGATGTTAAGTTCCAGCAAGTTTCATTAAGATCAGTGGCCAGGTGTCATGGTTTGACGCTGGCACAATGCCAGCGCCCCATGAAAATACAACCTACCAATCAAATGCTGTGAAATGCGATCGAGAACAGAGCAAAGCAGGCCAAACTTAATAACAAAGGACAAACTGTAATGACATCAGGATCAAGTATTTACCATTGGAATTTCTGTTCTCATCTGTGTTGGAAATTTGCCTGTTTTGCAGTATGGCTCCAGGCTTTTATTTCCTGGTGCATTCCTTACAACATGGCAGCAATCTAAACTGAATGTTGCTGTATCATGAAACAATTTCTTTTACAGCTGTCAAGACCTATAAATGGCAACTTAGCAAGAAGAAAGTTTAAACCTCCCAAAGCCCTAAGCAAGTAGCTGGTTACCTTAATTCAGTAAGTGGCTTGCTAGTAGATATGACAGCACAGTCTGGAGTTACAAAACATGACCTCTGCAAAGGTCATGTTCAAATTAGGATGTAGGTGCCTCCATGCCCAGTAGGCACATCTTGTAGTTGCAATGCACTGTCCTAATCCTGCACAAGACACACATAGATCCTCCACAGGTTTTACTGCATGAAGAGTCGCTTTGTCTCTCTTCTGCTCATGGAGATGTAAGGTAGCTGCCTGGGGCTGGGTCCTTAACCTGCCTTGAATATCTGCTTCCTTGAGTGTTGTTTAGGCACCTGTATTTGTTACCCTATCTACTGGGACATGAATGTTTAGCATTTGTTGAGATCAGTTGATAATTTCATAGCACTTGCCTGGCACTTTGTGTGTTCAGGGTGCTGTGTAGATGTTGGTGACTTGTGTGAGTCTCTTGTCAGACTCTGTTGTTCTTAGCTGGTAGAAATGGTGGGGTGTTGTGCTTGGCTTAAAACTGCATTGGGCAGCTAATGCATGTTCTGCCTGTGTCTGGACAGCAGGAGAATGGGGCATCCAGGATTCATGGGTCCTTCTCCCACCTCTGAGAGCAGAGTTTAGATATTTTACTCAAGCAGGGTTCCTGTGTTAGACTTCCTGAGCTGCTGTGTTTAATGATGTCTGTTTGTTGTTTATTAACTTTTGAGTCAAAGTATTTGCACTTCTAGAGACGCTCACCAAATGTGCAACTTTACACTTCAAGTGTTTTTAAACAGATGAGGATGAGGCTTCTGGGACATGTGTGGTTTGGGCCAGACAGATTCTCCTGTTCTTGGTTCCTTTGATGGCAAAATGAGAGAAACTGTACTCACTTACTGCTCTGTGGTTGGGAGTCATGTTCAGCAATGCATGTGAAAGGAGAAAAAATTCAGTTGGACGAAAAAGCAAAACCAAAAATCTTGCTGCCTCAGCATAGAGTACAGCCTTCTAGAAGGAAATGTGTTTGGCAGGTAGCAAGGGTATTTTGAAGTTACGGGTTGTTTGCATTGTGTGAGCAGTGCAGGGCTGTGAGTGAACATTTGGGAAGGCTGGAATGGGAAAAAGAATCGTGCAGGTGGTGGTTTTTCTATTAAACTCTGTCATTCTTCCCTGGTTGAGCCTGGAGATCTGCAGAAAGCATTTCAGAGGCCACAGAAGTATGTCCCTGCCAAATGCTGAGTTCTTCTATGAACTCCTGAGGAGGCTTGAAAATTTACTGTGAGCAAACTGACCTGGTTCTATGCTTGTGGTGTTTCTGGAATTGGAGGATTTATTTTCAATACATAAACTTAAATAAATTCAGCCCAAGGCATGCAGTTGGCATTTAGAATAACAAACTGAATTTATAAATTGAAATTCGAGGGACTCACCTCAGATCCTGTAAGTATTGGTTTTGGTGCTGGTCAGGAATTTTTCTAAAATTGCCAACATCTCCCAGTTTTCAAAACAGATTAAATTCCTTTCCCTTTCTTTCTTTCTTCAGTTTGAATATTTACAAAACAATTTCCCCCCTTCCCTCCCCACCTCTGGTAGGCAGCACTAAAATGATTCTGCCTTGATTTCCTATTGGACTCTCTGGACAGTTATATCCTGTCCTTCAGAAAGAGCAGTCTGCCTCACTGAGCTGATGCTGAAGGTTAAACTCGGTGTTAGCCTTGGCATCCCCAAGCCTGTCTGGCATTCAAGGGTGCAGTGACAGGTTTCTGTGCACTGGGCAGCCTGGCTGCAAGAACTTGGATTTTGCCAACCTGGAGTTCAGGTTTATGATTCCCTCCCTCCTTCCCTACAGTCCTAATGCTCCCTTGGGGTCTCTTCTTGTGTGCAAGCTCTTGCTTGGCTACATGGACTGCATTTTGATAGAAATAAGGCCTGAGCTTAAATCCTTCACTGGACTGAGATCAGAAGTGCAGTAAAGAGCTCCTGAGTGTGAAGCACATGGAAGAAATAGTAGCAAGTAAAAAGAGGCAGAGAAAAGTGGAGTTACTAGTTTGGAAACTTATACAGAACAAAGGTAGAGCACATGATCTTTTCCTCTTGTCTGTGGCAGCCCCAGTCACTGCCAGCCCAACCCCATCTGCTACTGAGAAAACTTCTGTTCCCTCTGCTTCTTTGGCTTAAATGCCAGATCTGTGCTCCTGCTGAGCCAGATGTGCCATGAACTGTCTGCAGGAATATTTAATTGCTTTTTCTGATTTATGGCAAGGAATGTGCTACCTCAAACAGAGGCAGCAGCAATTTTGAGATATCCAAGAGGAATTTGGCTTGGCAGACTTGCTTGTGCATTTGGAAGCTGTCTGCTATAGTGAGAAGGCTGTCTTGAGATAGTTAGCAGTTATTAGAAGCTGAGCCACTATTGCTTGTTAGCATGGGATATATGGCCAGGGGGATGGGGTGTGGGAGGCCTGCCAGCTCTACTTTCTGTTCATTGTGTCACTTTCCCTACTTCACTGCTCCGTGTCTCTCTGCTCTTCCCTTTAGAGGCGTTTTCCTCGACACCATCCTTCCCCGCCGTGATGACAATGGGGTCCGGCCAACTATTGGTCAGCGCGTTCGCCTGAGCCAGGGAGACATCGCTCAGGCAAGGAAGCTGTACAAATGCCCAGGTAAATATGGCTGGGGGGTGGATCCTGCTCTGTCATAGACACATGGTTTATGTGGAGTTCAAGAGCACCTTAGCGATCCCTTTGAGGAAAGAGACTTGGGAAACACAGACTATCAAATGCTTGGTCTGGAGCCGTGGAGGAGAAGTGAACATGCCTAAGAAGTGTCTCCTGTTAGTACTTTGCCACTATTCTTGTTGGGTTTAGGGCTTCAGATTGGTCCAGTGTAGGCTCCATTTGTAGAAAATTAAACCGATGTGCAAGGTTACAGGCAGAGTAGGGACTAGGAGTTAGCAAAATGGTGGGAAGATGTCTGGTAGACTGAGGCCCTGGAAAGTGGTGGATAGCTGGTGTGCAAATCCGCTGTTTTTCTGTATCCAACTACAGGTCAGAAATTATGAGTCCATAAGGGTCTAGAATTAATTTTGAGGGCTTCAGGGTCTATATGTTTGAAGATTACTGCTTTTAGCTTATAATGGGTGGTATAACTTTTAGGTCTGTTAGTTGTGATTAACTTTTTTTTCTTTTTCCCTCATCATTACATTTTTTCTTTTTACACTCATCATTATCTCTAAATTTACTCCAGTTGAATAAAATATTGTTCTTGCAACATTATCTCATGGATTAGTTTAGGGGTTAATTTATTTTGCACTATGTTTTTTGATTGAGTCAGACTTAATCCAACCAGGCTTTTCATTCCCATAGCAGGAAGAATCAATTACAGATTTAGATTGCTCAAGGCAAGCTGAAAAGCCACTTTGGCCTGAGGTACTAACTAAAAGCTACAAAGCAACTTTCTTTAAAATGAAGCCTCTTCTGTGAGTCTCAAGTTTTCCATTTGTGAAGTAGAACTTTTCCTACTTTTTTTTTTTTTTTCCACAAAGCTTTACCAGAGGTTATTGCAGTTCAGAACATATTAGGCATATTAGCTAGCAAAATAATTAGAGATTTAAGCCTACTAAACTTTTTTTCAAATATCTGTTGTTCTGCTTTGGTTTTTTTTTTCTTTGCATCAAAATTTATATACAAGTTGCATCTTAGGAGAAGAGGTACAATGTATTTAATGACATTAACATCTTCTACCATTTGAATCTGTAGCTTGAAGAGTTTTCTTCCTCTGCAAAATACAAAGCAAAGGAGTCAAAACCAAAGGACTTAATCTGTGTGTTCTAGCAGGGTCTGAATGAGACTTTAAGATGAAGACACTTTGTTCATCAGTCAAGCTGAGGATTTTAGGGTAAAATGCAGCAACATAATTCAGAAGTTGAGTGGCAGATGGCTTCCCTTTTACAAAGAGAGTCTCCATCTGAGAATACCTAATAATATCTCCAAAAAAAAAGAGCATAGTGGAGGATGAGCTACAAGCATGCACTGGAATCAGCCAGAACAACTGCTGTGTCTGTTGTAAGAAATGGGGCTCTCCAGCTCATTAGACTGGAGCTCATGTGCCTGCTACAGTTAGGGCTTGCTTAGCTTGTCCATTCTAAAACCCTGCTGGTTTAAATTGCTCTTAATTCCTCAAAGCTTATACCTGCTGGGTTAAAGTTAGTGCCAAGCCAGGTGAAATCAAATGAAATTTGCTGAAGGAATTTCTGGAAGGCAAGAAGCAGTCTGCTACATAGTAGTTAATGCTAGATTTGCTATGGCTGCAAAGTTGTGGATTTGATGACTACAGCGACTACAAAAGCTTTAAAACAGCTCATCCTGCTGTCCTGTGCTGTGCTAAAGAAAAAAGGCTTCTGTAGCTGTGCTAATTGTGCAGGAATGGTTAAACAGTAAATTGAGAATGGTCCTGCATTGTATAATTACCTCCAGCTCTCTGGGCATTTTCAAAAAGATACAGTGTACCAGTAACCAGCTGATGAGCTGTAAGTGCCTGTCACCCTACTGCTTCATTTACAAACGAGTTCTGAAGCATTCACCTTAGTGCTTTGCTTTTCATTGCTGGTCCTTTCTACCTGCTCAGTTTCTTGGATCCCAGAAGTATTAAACAGTTGCTTTATTGGACCTCTTGGCTTTTTCCTACTGCAGTCATATTGCTTTTTAGGGTGCTCTGCAAGAGGTTGTTCTCTCCCCACAAAGATGCACTGCTCACAGTCATGCTTCTCCTGCACTGCCAGCAGTCACTTTCCTCGATGCTGCAAGGCCAGCCTGTCACAGTGTCTGGGGAGTTTCCTCTGCTGGGGTCAGAGAGTTAGATAGGTCTCCTTTCATATTTCAGCAAAGTGGTCTTTCCAAGTAACACAATAGTACCTGTTCCACAACTACAGAGTCTTGCCAGTCTCTGTCTCGTTGCACTCTGGGAGAACTAAGTCTGGAAAACCTTCACTGTGGTTCAGGCAAGGGCAATAATCTCATATCACTATGCTCATGTTGTGCATGTTTCCTGGGATTTTGAGCTCCCTTTATAATTCCATGTTTGTTTAAATATATTTTTTAGCTGAGAAAAAGAACATTTATTTATCTTGGTGAGTTGTGAATTGGAATTCCCTATTTAGTTTAAAAAAATATTAAAAAACTCCTTCCTGTGTCCCCACATTTCTTCATTTAGTCTGATCTGTCAAGCTGTGGATCAAACTTCCTTAGGGAAATTAAGAAACTCCGGATTAGGTGACTCCTTCTCCCCTGCTTGAACATATTACATTTTTTCAATGGAACCAGTCTCTTTTCACCTCCAACTGCACACCCGCCCATCTAAATGTAATCATGGCTGCAAAATTACCCTGTGACAGCATCAAGCAGAGGAACAACCCCTGGCATTTCTATGAGAAAGGGAAAGCTTTGTTGGATCTTTCAAAGCACTGCTGCTCAATCAGGGATTTTTGGGGGGTGCTTACAGGTCCAGGGGAGCTTTGTAATATCACTTGGTTAAGAAATTGGAAAAACAACTGGGAAGCAGGCAAGCCAAGGTCCTTGCTCCTTGCAATTGGCATTTGGATGAGTCTAGTGGGCACTGTCAAGGAAATGGGAGCCTTGATATTTGTGGTCCTCCCACCCCCAGCCAGTGAGGTGCTCTGCAGATGTGGATGGTCTCTCCTTGTTCCAGCTCAGCCATCCTGTCTCAGAGAGCAGAGCTACAGTAGTCACAGCTTTTCCAGATGTTGGAAGCTGCAGTTCCCTAAAGGATCATATGCATGTGCATATTCTTTGCTTCCCAAAAGTCGCTCTGGGATCTACATTTCATCAACTGCAGCAGGCCACAAAACAGGAAGTTGAAGAGCAATGGACTGCTGTGCTCACATTTTGTCCGGTGCAGTGTAGTGGCCGGGAAGGTGCTGGGCAGCTGAAACATGAGGGTGATGGGACTGGCCCTTCTTTTGTTAGGATGTTTTTAGCCCAAAAAAGACAATTTACAATGGTAACTAAGGAGAACTTCATTGAACAGCTTGTAATGAAGTGAAAACAGATTTGCTGGCAGCAGTGTGGGGTTGTGAAGTGGGGTGGAGTTAATACTTTGCATTTGATTAGTGAATGAGATATTCCTCAACTGAAACCTGAAAGTGCTGGCATGTGGAAGGATGATGAAGGAAGAAGGGTTCTTCTTTAGTATCTTTTTCATTTGTGTCTTTGCACTGATCATCTTCTATCCCAGAAATTCTGACAAATTTCACATCACCCCTTTGGCAAGGCTTTGGGTGGTCAGTGACCTTTGGCCACTACCATGAATGAGCACTGTTGAAGTACAGCCACCAACCTGCACACAGCCACCATGAGCAGTCAGTTTGGTAGACCCTGATGTCTTTCAGAGTCACTCCTTTTTGATAGGTTTTTTTCCCCTCTCCTACAGCTTGTGGAGAGACCTTGCAAGATTCAACAGGTAATTTCTCAGCCCCTGGCTTTCCAAATGGCTACCCCTCCTATTCCCACTGTGTCTGGAGGATCTCGGTGACCCCAGGGGAGAAGGTAGGTGCTGCAGCATCACAAGGTATACTCTGCACTTCCCTCATGTGAGGTTTTGCCTATGATGACAGTTTTAGAACCTGCCAGATCTCTGCATGCCTGGCATGCAGGAATGGAGCCTGGAAAGTCTCCTGAGCACCACTTAGGAGAGAGATGGAGTCAGGAATACATGATTTTGAGGAGAGAAGTGGTGATGCTGGAGCAGAGCCCCTCACATATCTGGGCTGTGTGTTGATGTCTGATCCTCCCTCTCAGTTTGAGACTAAACCCTGCATGGACATTTCCTGCCACCTGTCAGCTTTGGCAAGCACACATTCCAAAGCCAGTCAGATGAGTTAAATAAAACATGCTGCAATCTGGGGTCCTGAAGGGAGCTGAGGAGCTGTGAGTGACATCCGTGGCCTGCCCCTGTCACGCAGGCATAATGTCCCTGTCAGGGAACTCCCACTTCCCGCCTTGGAACGCCAAGCCCCGCTGCACATCAATCACCCACCCTGTCCACTTTCCTCCCAGCTCCTTTTGTTTTATTGATCTTCCTGTAGAAATGAAATCTTTCCTTAATCCAGCAACACCAGCCTTTCAGGCCTGTCACGCCATACCAGGCTGCAAGAATGAGCAGCCCACTCCTTGGCAGAGTGACTTTGCTGAGGATCACCCTCAAGACACGCTTAAGACTCAGACTCGGACAAAGAAGCGCAGAGCTCGTTTGTTCTGCAGCAGCTGCCTGGCTCCGGGACCTGTTTCTGTCACCTTCAAGCCCAGTCCCATGCCATGCTGAGCTCCTGCCACCAGCTGCAGGGAGAGCATCGCTGGGGCAAGAGGGCCAAGAGCCGTCCAGGTTTGACAACTGTAGCACTGAGAGTTTCGTGGTGTCAGTCTTGCTATAAACTCTCCCTTTGCTTCTCAGCCTCTTCAGAGTTGTGTCGGGAAGGACCCAGCATCTAATTAATGCTGAACCACTAATGTTAAACAAGGAAATAAAGACTTGATTTCAGATTAAATGCTTCAATTTACCTGTTTAATTCAATGCAGTGGTTGGTGCAAATTGTTGCCCTGAGGTGTTAGTTCAGAACAGATATTGGGCTTACAGCATTCATCTGCATAGAAGCAGGTGAATCTTTTGCTGTCTATAGTCAGAATACTGCAAAAAGGTGAAAAAAGTGAGTGACATCATTACAGACTGCACTCTGCACACCCAACCAGTATTTTGGGGGAGAACATCCATTTTAACATAAAGACATTTCTGTGACTATGTTCAGATTACAGATCTAAAGGAATTATATGGGTCAAATCTCACCAGAAAAAAATACAAGTACACACCAATGGACCTCCATATGTGACCTCCCAGACCAAGGCCAGTGATCCATCTTAGTGAGGAAGGAAACCAAAATAATGATATTTTAATGCCAAGCTCTGTTTGGTAAAGCCACTGAATGCAATTGCATCACAGTGAGTCTGATGGTCAGAATGTGGAACCTAATTAGAAAAATTAGATTTTTTTTACAAGTATTATTTATATTCAGATATAGACCCCAAACGTGTGTGGTTTGTGACAATGTCTTTCTCTATGATTGTCACATTACTCAAAACCAAAGGGTTTAATTTTAAAAATCCAAATTGGGCTTTTTTTAAAGTAACATTTTAGTAACTGAGAAGTATTGAATTTTAATTACAGAGTTGACAGTAAAGGGCTCTCTGCTGTCATATGCTGTCATATACTGTCAAGGTGTTTTAATGGTTTCATTAAAACACCGTGAGAAGCCTTTCTTTTTTGAGAAAAGGTGGTGTACAAATCCTACAAATGGCCCAACTGTCTTTGCCTGCATACTCACTTAGGCAGCACTGTAGTGAAAATTTAATGTGAAGCAATCTGTAGAGTCTTCTCTTTAAAGTAACTCCCTCCCCAAAGAGAAATGTGCACTCTCTCCTTTCAGATTATGTTGAATTTCACATCGATGGACTTATTTAAAAGTCGCCTTTGCTGGTATGATTATGTGGAGGTGCGTGATGGCTACTGGAGGAAGGCTCCGTTATTGGGTGAGTAGCTATTTCATTTTAATTGAATTTTGTGTATTCTTCTTGATGCTTTGGAGAGTGGATGGGGAAAACAAGCAGAAACAAACTTTCCTTTACTTGGAAGGATCTTAGGTCCTGCCAGTGCACTGGCCATCCCTTAGTGTCTCCATCCAGAGATGTCAGTGTGCTGTATTCACTCCCAATGATCCGTGCTCCAAGACCTGTGGTCACAAAGGCTTCATTCCTTCCTTTTCCAGCTTGATAAATGAGGCAGGGAGGGAAGTGAGCCAGGGTCCTGGCTGGGACTAAAAATGTGGTCTCTGGAGTTTTGTTATTGCTCTTTCCAGGGAAGAACTGTCAGGCAGTCAGAATGAAGCAGCTGCACAGCTCCTGACCCAAGCTCCTGCCATTATTTCTCATGAATTTGTGTTTACAAATACACAGTATTCTGTACTTTGAGCCTCTGTATTCCTAGCAGGGAACTTGCTAGCCCATGCTATGTCAAGCTGTGCAAGGACTCCACTCTGCTTCTGCTCCCAGAGATTTCTAGAAGTGCAGCTTCTCTGTTTCTTCCCTCTTCTCTGCCTCCTGCTATCATAACTGCAAGTCTTCTGTCACCTTGAATGGTTCAAGAGTCCCACCTACTTTGCCACTGCTTCTGATCCTGACCTCATCCCCTAAGCTTGGTGTCCCAAACATGTAAAATATGGCACTGAAAACAGCCCCTTCTGCCTAAAAGGAAAGAAGCAATCAGGTTGGTGTCATCCCCAGCTGTGTAAGAGGTGCTGCAGCACAGGACTGGGCTAGTGAGCATTGGGTCAGAGAGTTTAGGGAGGCTTGGGTGCTCTCCTTGGCCCCACTGGACATTCTAGCCCTGGTACCAGGTGAGGTGCTGAGGCTGAAGCAATACTGCTTCCCAGGTTTCAGTGGGCCTACCTTTCAGGGCAGTTGGCAGCTGGTTTTACTGTTTACTGCCTATTTTGGGGTTGGCAGCATATACTGTACTGCTGTTCTCTGTGTCAGGTAACATTGCTCCAGCAGCTGCAACTTAGCTGTTATTAGTTTGTTATTTTCTTTTTCTACTGAGTAATTTAAAGGTACTTCAGAAGCCAAGCACCTCCCTGTCCCCCTAGTGCAGGTGGACTTGGGAGTGTTTCCATCTGGAAGGAGACGCTGCATGAGTGGCCATGGTTCCCGCATGGGGCTGAGCCCATGAAATTAGGTCAGAAGAGGCAGACAGACGGCAATTCAGCAGGGGGTGAGGAGGGGGATTAGTGTGAATTGTGAAAGCACGGGCTTCTTGTGGAGAGAAAAAATACATGTGTGCTGCATACTTTCCCAGGGAAGTGTGTGAAAACCCAGCCTTTAAATGGTGTATAACTTTTTATGAATGGACCCTTTATCGCACTCTGAGGAGCTTGCTCATTCTCGTTCCTCATCTGTGTTTCCTCTTCTTGACACCCTTGTTAAACTCCAACTCTAAATCCAGGAGGAAGTTGCTCAGTGACCCTAGAGGAAGAAGCTTTGCAGTGCTGATCCTGTTTTTAGCATCCCCTTTGGGAGTGGAGGTGGGGGATGCTATTGATACGCTGCAGGGCTGTCACACTGCCCCAGCAGCACTGGGCAGGTTAGGGGCACAACAGTAGCTGGCTGAAGCTGGGTCCGAGATAATATTTGGATGGGTGACTCTGCAAGAAAAAAAAGCTGGTAGTGAAACTGTTGTTTCCAGCCAGTTAATGTGAAATACAATGGTGTCTTGAAGGTAAGGCATTAACCATGTTTTTACCCAGTGGAAGTTGTTCAAAAGATGCTTTTGCCTGGCGTTGGAAGGCCAGGATCATTATCACTGCTGTCCTGACTAAATTCAACCTGAAGAACTGCTCTTTGCCTCTGTCAGATTGTGACTGGGATTCAGTTGGATAGGGTGCCAAGACCATTCTGAATTCAGTGTATAGCCCTGCTGGTGTCAGCTGAAGTAAAAAGCCATGTGCAGGCTCCTGACTCAAGTGCAGGTCCCTGCCTATTGGTGCATACCTGGTGCTTGCTCTATTTCTGCGAGGAGCTTCTGGCCTTAATAGAGGAGCACTAAATTGGGGTTGTTGAGGTTGTCTGGGCTGCAAATGCCATCTGCAGCTGTTCTGTTTCAGGATTCACTCCGCTGGTAAATTTGGGAATTTACCAGTGCTGATAGATGCCAGAGAGCTCAAAGCTAGAGCAGTCATGGAGCAAAATGGCTCCTGGTCTCTTTGTCTTGAAAGAAATTAAACTATTGCAGAAGCTTAACTGGGATTTGCTGAATAGAGAATGAGAAGTGATTTTTTTTTCTCATCAGCATGGCCATGTCCTGCTCTTGGTTTGACTTGGAGTATTCACTCCGAGGTACAAAGTGCTGAAGGAGTTTTCAAGGTTTAGCAGGTAGAAAGGACATTCCCTAATGCCACACCTCTAGAAGGACAGGGGGATGCTCCCCACCATGGTAGCTCATTTGCTCAATGACATGATCAAGACAAGAGCCCTTTTGAATTTACCAGGGCAATAGAGACTTCATCCGTAACTGGATTCTGCTCCCAGCTGAAGAGAACTTAATTCACTTAATTATGTAAAAGAATATGAATTAATGAAGGGGGGGACACAGAAACTTATTCAAAAACACAACTGATGGGAGTGAAAGGGTGTTTAAACAAGCACACTCCTTTACCAAAGACTCTTTGCTTCTCAGAGTCACAGGTGCACGTTATGCTGTGCTGTCCCTCAGGAGATTGTAGAGATCTTTATTGTCACTTTCCTGCCTTCTAGGTAGATTTTGTGGTGACAAGATTCCTGAACCAGTAATCTCCACGGACAGCAGGCTGTGGATCGAGTTCCGGAGCAGCAGTAACATCCTGGGCAAAGGCTTCTTTGTGGTCTATGAAGGTACAGCCCTTAGCCAGAAATCTGCATTGTACAGAGCAGATGGAACAGGATGCAGGGGTTTTATGGGATCAGCAGAAGTTCAGCTGCACTGTGGTTAGATACAGCTATGCCCTTTTTTTTGTGGGAATTGGCAGATTTTGCGGCTTGCTTCAATAGACAAGGCATGGATTTTCCAACTAGATTATCACATTTTGGGGGGCACAACAAGATGGAAACACAAAGCAATAGCTTCCATACTTAGGCCAGGTTCTGTTTGCTCTAACCGGCCCCTGCAAGCAACGATGTGTAAAGCAAGAGTTTCTTTCAGTATTTTAACAGGCAAAGTTATGTTTGGGATCATACATTTTATATCACTTAATACAGATTATCTTGGGGTGTTTTTGTTTGGTTGGTTGGGGTTTTTTTTCTCAGATTCAAAGATTAGTCTTTTGTTTCTCCTTTGTATGTTTTACTTACAGAAAATTGGAAATTAGCATGTCAGATTTTCTAGAGGTCAAGTATTTTAGAAACTTGCACAGCAGTGAGAAGATGAAACCACTTCAGAGGAGAAACTATACTACCGCAGTTATTAATAATCAGTAACTTCCCTTTTCCATATATGCCTGGTGGTTTTTTGCAGTAATGACTCTAAAATGTATTAAAAGCCCTCATTGTTTTCTGGGCAGCAGGCATTTTTCTTAGAAATACCAGTGTTGTCATCAGTATTGAGGTTGACTGTATTGATACCGACATTGCGAAATCTTCTTTCTTCAGCAACAGGAACAAGCATAATGCTGGAAACCCAGTGCCCAAGTGTCCCATAAACTCATGAATAATGATACTAACAGAGGGAAGTGAAGCAAACATGGGACTGTTGGGGAAGTGCAAATAAAGAATATGAGGATTTCACAGCAGTTTGGGGCTAACAAATCTGTTTCACAGGAGAAATATCTGGTTTCTGCAGGAATTGTTGCCCCAGAGACAGAAGTAGCTTGCCTAATGTTGGGTTTTTTTAAACATCTTTCCTGAAAAGCAGCTGTTGCCTGGACCATGTGGTTTGTGACACCCCCTTTATGGTAGTTTGCTGGAATTAGAAGTGGCCAAATTAGCATGTATGGCATCATCCTTCATATTGCTAAATAGTATTGGGGGAAAAAAAATTACATTGGCTGCATTCCAAAGTCACTTTGCAAAGTGACTTTGTTTTCCCTTGACAATTTCCCGTATTTTCTGTTGATTAATAAATGGTCCCTAAAGATTCAGTAAATATGAGCTTGCTTCACTTGATTTTTGAACAGAGCAACTGAAGGTAGAATGTGCATCTAGTAGTCAAACAAACTCCAAGTTCATATTTTCCTGCCTCTTCAGGAGTAGCTTTTTATATAACCCTTTCCTGCAAGAAATTTCTCATTGTAAGACTGTGAAATCCATGGCTATGCCTGAGAGCAAGCACAGAGTATGACTGGTGTACTGCAGACACAGTGATGGCTCATTGCACAGTCATTCTTACCTCTGGATGATGAAGGGAATGCTTAAGCATTTGATCTCTCAGCCTCCTCTTGTCAGAGCAGCATGTAGAGAGATTATCTACATGTCTTTCCATAATTTATTTGCTAAAATAGGAGATTTTCCAAAAATCTTCTTTAATCCCTATTTGACTCTTAAGCAAGTTCTGATAATGTCTGGTTTCTTTTGTCCTTTGAAAAGTGGCTTGCTCAAGTGTTTTGTGACTTCTGTGCTTAGGCAATAAAGGCAGTTATTATTTCCAGGAGGGATTGCAATTAAGTGTTTAATTTTCTATGAATTTTTGTCCAAAATCTTTCTCTGTTGCCATTAGTTGCTCTTTTTTTTTTAACTCCTCCCTCAAATTTAGCACTGCTGCTCTGTCTTCTGATTTAGCGACAGTGCACATGAATGCTCATGCATCTGAACTTTTCTGGAAACTGTGGGTGAGGAGTGATTTTTTGTTTTGGATTCCTCCAAGTCTGGCTCTGAAGTTTTCAGAAGATGGGAGGAAAGCAGCAGAAGCATGCAGCCACGTGACAGTAGAATTACTTGATCCTAAATGACAGTTTATGTAGTGAAAGTGTCCTCTCTTAGTTCAGTCATTCTGTTCCCTTTCTTCCATGAGATTTAAGATGGGAAGATGGTGGTGGTTTTGCCCTCCAGCACTGCTGACAGCCCCGAATGTGCCATCATTATCATCTTCTCAGGCTCTGTCCATAGATGTTCTTTCCATGTTGCAGTAAGGCTCTTCCAAGTATAGTTGATGCTCAGCTGCTGTAGTGGATAGTGAAAATATTATTTGTTGGCTGTCAGTTTCATGGCTCTTAGGAAAAAAAGTTCTCTGCTCTTGAAGGCCTTTTTCTGTTGGGTGGGGAAGATAGTTCTTTAGAGGGTCCTTCAGAGGTTTTCTCAAGCTCCACTTGTAGCTCTGAATATATGAACTCAAATTGCAATCTAAATTGTGCTCTGCAGCTGAATTTTTGGGTGTAACTTTTTGGTGCTGCTTTAGCACTGATTCTGTAAGAAAGAGGTTAGCTGCCCTAATGAAGCAGTACTTTTAACATTAGCAGCTTACAATGCGAGACCAAGACAGGGTTACCCAGTGCAAGCAATCCTGGAGACCCATATGTGAATTGCTAATGCAATGCCTTGTGGGGAGAAGCCAAGGGCGAGGATGGTTGATATCTGACAGGTGTCATTGCTGTAGGATCTCTCTTGTACTTTCTGCTGGTGCTCTTTGTTTCCTTGACTTTAGGTACAGCCAAAACATTCATGTGTTTTGTAAATGTGTGTGGTGCATCATGGGTAACACAGGTTTTAGCCTGTGATCTTACTTTCATTTTTTATATCGTCTTGCAGACAATTTTGCTTAGCTGCTGTTGTCTTCAAGATCTTTACTAGTTTTGTATTAAACTAGATTTCCATTAAATTTTCTACTTTGGTATTTAAACTTGTATTTGGCACTTAAACTTAATTTTTCATGCGCAGCAGTCAGCCTGATGGTCTGATGGTGAGCAGCTCAAGTTGTGCTTGTTAATATTGCCATCGTGTGGCTGGATTAGATTTGCAACTTCTCCTCTCCCCCACAGTCTCACCCCCAGCTTTTCTTGGCTCTTAGTGCTGGTAGCAGGTTTCAAGCAGATATGAAGGTGAGCAGGATTATGAATAACACAAATTTATAAAAAATCTCTGTCCCAGTGAGCTCACCTTCTCAGACATTAGGACAGCAAGATAGGAGACACTTATAAGACAAAATGTTAGATTTGTAAAAATGTCTATGTCTTGTGTGTTGCCTTTGTATAGCAAGCAATACTGAAACATATTTGAATGAGAAAGGTGCATATGGAGTGGGCTTTACCTAGAGAGAAACTTGCAGTCTCCTGGGTTTGCTGTTTCTTTTTTTATGAAGCTATTTGCGGTGGAGAAATACACAAAGATGCTGGCCAGATCCAGTCTCCCAATTACCCAGATGACTACAGACCTTCCAAAGAGTGTATCTGGAAGATCACAGTTTCTGAGGGTTTTCACATAGGAATCACATTCCAAGCCTTTGAGGTGAGAAATGTCATTGCATATTATATTACAGATATTATTTTGCCTCTACAAGCCCTTTAAATGAAGAAGAAAGTAATAATAATAACAACAATAATAGTAAGAATAAAAAATGCTTTTGAATACTTTAGAGTACTATTTACTTTATCGGATGTTTGCTCAGAGATTTTGATTTTTGAAGTTTAAGATATGCTGAGATTTCAAAAACTGTTACTCTAGATTGAAGGAATTAGAAGTTGATGATGTTAGATAGGGACTCATGAGTCTTAAAATTTTCACTCTGGTCAAATGGAAGTAAATTATCACAATCCAGGCAAAATCTCTTGGTGTCACTGGGACTTGTCAGATTGCAGGATGTGACTCCCTAAAGAAACATCGTGTTCCCAGATGGCAGACAGACTTTGAAGAGGTCACAAAGAGTTTTCTTCTGCTCATTATAGGATGTCTTACACTTTTAGCTACATGCCAGTGATCAGTCTCTGATTGCTGATGTTAAGTCACAGACAGGAGTGGGCAGGACCTTGGTTGGTGCATAAATCTCATCTATCCCACAGGCTCCTGTGGCTTGTGTATGCTCACCATGCTTGTCCTGTGAAGCGCTGACACCACTACCTCCCCATGGCTGTTCCCTGAACCTTTTTGTTTGTAGCTGTTTTGCACTGTTCTTACAGCTTCTCTTGCAAGAGCAGTTTGTAGATAGCCAGGGACTGGCTCTCACTGCAGGATAGCCACAAAGCAGTGGCAGAGCTGAGATGTGCCTAGGCTCAAATGCAGTTTGAACTGCAGAAGAGCTCGCTGGCAGCCACAGCAAGTACTTAGTTGTAGCCAGTTGTCCAGGGAGCTGGTCTGTGGCCAAAATCTCACTGTGCCACTAGCCTGACTGGAGGAACTCTTACTAGATGTACAGACACACACTTTTCCTATTGCAGATTGAGTGGCACGATGCGTGCTCTTACGACTACCTGGAGATCCGAGATGGCCTCACTGAACAGAGCCCACTCATCGGCCACTTCTGTGGCTACGAGAAGCCAGAAGACATCAAGTCCAGTTCAAACAAAGTATGGATGAAGTTTGCATCTGATGCAACCATCAATAAAGCAGGCTTTGCAGCAAATTTCTTTAAAGGTATGTGATCTAATACCTCTCACAGTCAAAGCTGGGGACAATTCATCCCTTGAGCTACTGCCATCGACCAATCAATTAATTCTATCTATCAAGTCACACATTATAATTCTATCTACTTGTACTTAGGATTTTTTTAACAATTTGTTTGCAAATATTGAATTTACGTACAAATTGCTTTGAGACTGTAGAGGGGGTTGATGCTGAGGCAAAAACACCTCCTCCCTGATTAGGACAAAAATCAACTCTGCTGGGCTGGTGTCAGCATAAATGTTGCACAGCTGGATGGAATGTTACTTCCATTTAGCCATACCAGAGGACACTGACATTTCCAAAGAAGCACTAATACTGCACAAGGAGTGTTAAAAACAGCTCTCTGCTTAAGTTCTAGTCCAAAAGAAACCTCAGGAGAGAAAGTCAATCTAAATGCAAGTAGAGTCCCAGTAAGAGAATACCGAGACCTTTAGGAGACAAATGTGTTCCTAAACTGAGATTCTCTTCAGGAAGATGTGAGACTAAGATTTTAATTTTTTTTTCTTTTTTTTAAGAGCTAGACCCTAGAAATAATCCTTTACCAGCATGCTGGTGACTTGATAGAGGCAAAAACCAAATATATGACTGCTTGGGAAAATACCTGTGGAGCTGCTGTGTGTCAGACAGTCATGTTTATCTTAAGTTCAGTGGCACTTGTACAGAAATAATAGTTGCAATGCCAATATTTGGATTGCATAAGTCCTTTATTTATTTCTGCCTTAACTTTGTCTCATATTAAGAGTGTGATGGTCCATTTAGGTTTCTCAAATTTTCAGGAGAATGTACTCTGTGGATTAAACTTTATTTAATGAACTTAAGACTTAAACAAATATGTCAGGGCTCAATCCCCTTGGCTCAGACTAGTCTATCCTATGAATTCACTTATTCACCATTCAAGGCATAAAATGTCATAATTTATAACCCAGGATTCTTAAACCATGCACTTAAGTGGGAAAAAAAAAAAAGTAAATACAATTTAATTCACATATTATATTCACCCGTAAATTTGAGAGGTCTTAATGGACTGTGACAAAGGGTGATTGCAAGATCACTGGCAAATACTGTCACATTTGATCTCAGCCCCTGGACAGGTCCCACAGTACCTAGACTTCCTTGTTTAAATTTCTCAGGTTCCATAAAGGCACAGAGAATACTTCTTCCTAAAGATATTTTGGCTCTTTCAGGAGTGAACAGTGCAGGCTGACTGTGGCAGAGATGTCTTTCAAGATTAGCACTACATGGAGACACAGCAAGTCATTCTCTAAAATCTGAGTTTCACCTACAAGTTTGTAGGGGAAGAAAGTTACACACCTGAACCTGAAGTGCTTTCTGTGTGATACAGATAGTCAGAAATAAATGTGTTTATTTGTTTTATTTAGTGTAAAAATGAGTAAACTTGAACACTAGTGCAATTGGAGACACAGGTATTTTCTGTGGAGTTTTTGCTGGCAGGCTACATCTTTCAGTGTCTGCTTGGATTTCTCGTATTTGAACCAGAAACCATGTAGCTTGTGGATGGTTAGAGCATTTTTAAGTCCCTGCCAGTAAATTCAGCTGAGGAGCAAAGTGGTTTTGCTTGAAGTAGTCATAGCTGCACAATTTCTAGCCAGCTTGCATTTTTGGCAGAGCTGGTGTCTGTGTGCAAAAAGCTGTGTAGACACATGTGCAGGCTACATGTGGAGTTTCAAGCTGGAATCTGAAGACTGCAGTCTCTACCTCCATATCCAGGGGATTGTGAGATACTCCAAGAGCAAAGGGAGCAAATTAGATGGCTCTGCAGGCTTCAGACTGCTTCTCACAGCTGATTGAGCAATGGGTAAGCTTTGCCTTAATCAATAAGGAACAGAGCTTCAATTAAATGTCTTACAACACTGAAAGAAAATAACTCAGCCTAAAAAATCAGAGTTAAGGATGGAATTGAATGCTATGCTTTGTAAGACCACACAATGGTAATGTCTAAGTTTTCAGAGAAAATAAACCTGCAATCAGCTTAGAGGGTAAGCCATTGGTCCACACCCAAGAGGCATTTGCCAGGAAGATATGGAGCACAATTACCTCGTGTCCACACAGTCAGGTATATCTCATGTGATATCTCCAGGATTATTCTGGTTAGTTTTCTTTGTTTTGGCAACAAATTGTTTGTATCAATTAAGCCTATTTTTATACGTGTGTTAGTTCATCTACCTGGAGCAGGGGAAGAATGAGAAGAAGCAGCAGGGTCATGTGCTGCCTGTGGCTCCCCATCCCCTCCTGCCTTTGCACACCCGTGGCTTTGCTACAGGGGCTGAGTGTAACTTGTAGGGGTACAAGGTAGAGGGAGAGGAGCTTGGAGTGAAGTTAAGCCAGGAAAGGGAAGCAGAAAGATGTTTTCTGGTGTTTTAACATATTTCAGTTTTGGTTTCCTCATGCCTAAACCAGCACTCAAATATTTATATTAATTGACAGTAAATTAAGTTAAATTCACTAAAATTGAGTCTGTTTGAACAGAACAGTAATTGGTGAATAATTTGGCTGCTCAACTCAGAACTTTCTTGCTGTTAGTCTTCCTGTTTTCTCCCTCATTCCAGGGGAGTGGTGGGCCAGAGAGTGAACCAACAGCCAGGTAGGAGTTTGGCTGCTAGCTGAGGCTAACCCACCACAGCCATGTTAATAAAACCATCTATTAAGTGATGCATGTGGAATCAGGGGCCAGAGTGAGAAGCCAGTGGCTATCTTTATATTAAAATGTCAGTTCAGTTTGTTGAGATGTGGTTGATGAACCTGACTTCAGAGTCTAGGACAGCAAGAGTTCATGTGCCTGTGAAAAGGCAGAACTACTTGTATGTCCTGCCAGCTCCTTTGCAGCACCCTGTTCCATGGGATATCACCTCGGCTCCATTACTGTGTGGGCCATGATGGGTTGGTTCCTGGTAGCTCAAGGCATGAGGAATTTGAAACAAAACAAAAAAATGGCATGTGAGAACAAAAGGCAATGAAGTCTTTACAAAAGACAGTGTTTTCTTGCTTCCTGCTTGTGCCTAGAAAAAGCACTGGCTATTAGCTTGTGCTTATAGCACTGGCTATTAAGTTGGCTATTAGCAGTAATGGTAGTCCTTTATGGTTCTGGTGTTAGGAGTGTTTCAGCACTTGTGAGCTTTGCTGCAGTGCCTGCTCCACAGACTTGGCTCAGCAGTCAGGGCTCTGTTCCTTCTGTCCAGAAGGGTTGCATGAGGAATATGGAGGTGTTTGGGTGGTCAGGAAAGTGCGACTTGCTCCGGTTTTCTCCTGACAGAGATGGATGAATGTTCCCTACCGGACAATGGTGGGTGTGAGCAGCACTGTGAGAACACACTGGGCAGTTACAAATGCACCTGTGAGCCTGGCTATGAGCTGACAGCTGATAAAAAGAGCTGTGAAGGTAAGTAACCCACAGATTGAGCCATCTGACTCTAGGAGAGGTACTACAGCTATAAATGGACTTGAACAGTCTTGGAAGTGGTTTTCCTTGCCCCTGCAACCTCTTTATTTCATTTCATTTTCCCCCAACTGTTTATTTTGTTTTTGTTAACATCTTCCATTGAAAAACAAGTTTTGGTTAAAAAAAACTCTGAAAATTCTCTGATTTATACTGCTGATCATCCCTAAAGCCAGTTGTCCTTCATGGCCAGAGATTGCAGTTCAGACCAGATGTCCCACAGTGCAACATAAGGGAAGTAGGCATTACAACCTAACCATTGAGTTGCCCAAAAGTATTTAAATCTAATGCTGAATTTGTTTGTTTTTCATAAAGGAATTTACTTCATATAATAAAATATCAATGTTTTGTCTGCATGCAAAATAGGCTTTTTCACACTGAAGAGAATTTTCCTCCCTTCCTCTTTTATGAAGAAAAAAAACCCATGTGTGTAATAGCAGGCGTTTGTGTCAGCTTTCTAGAGAGTTAATCCATGCGACAAGTGTTGCTTCTACCAACAATACAGCTGTTGGTGTGCTGAGAATCCATCCATCATTCTTATCTCAAAACACTGTCTGTAGGGACATTTAGGGAGCTCCACGTGCTATCAATGGTGCTCTCAACATCACCTGGTTTGCCCTGACTTCTGCTTTTGTCAAACTGTTTGGGTAAGAGTGCTATCAATTTGGTGAGGGCAGTCAGGTGTGTGCAAAAGGCTTTTGAAAGCCTCCCTTCCCATAATTTCTTGGAATTTTAGCAAGCCAGGTGCTAAGTTGCTATAACTTGACAGGGGCTTTTTCTGAACTTCACTCTTAACCTCCTATTTTAAATGTCATTTGTGGGCAAAACAGAAAGGATAGTCTTTGAAACTGTAGCAGTGTACATCAGAGTAAGTTGCTTTTTTTTTTTTTCTCCAAAACCACTTGCTTGCTACTCTATTTATATTGAAGCTGCTCCCTTGGGTTAGGGTTAGTCCTCTTAATACAAAATTATGCTGGGAACAAGACACAGAAAGCTTTCATCCCTGTGGGTTTTGAAGATGTGGGCTATATCTCATTATTCTCAAGAAACAGCAAGAAAAGAATGCTTTGTTGCAAATAGAATTTTGCAGTGAATTGAAGTTTACTCCTTTGAGGTAATAACCTTGCCCTCCCACAAGAGGATGAAGCTGAGATGTCTTAAATTTTTTAAGGAAATGGGATAATACAGCTAGGTATTGACTTTGCCTTCAGCTTTCCCTGTAGAAGATGCAGTCCATATATAATAAATAAACCACGGAAGAGTTGACAGGAATGTTTTCCCTATGATTCCATTATCTTGTAATTATTCCATTACTGATAAACTTAAAATAGTAAGGTTTGTAGCACTGAGTGTAGGTGACTTTACCAAGCTGGACTTCACAACTTTGTTGCGCATGTCAAGTCAACTGATTCGCAGTAAGCCCAAGTATAGAGATTAAAAAGGAAATTAAATTTTACATGGTGGCTCTCAGGGCCATAGCCTCATTGGGTGTGTTTGACTAGTGATTTACTGCAGGTGAAGTTTCTGTCTTCTTCACACTTCCCAGCATTTTAAGCCTGTTCTGGAGGCTGGAATTTGAAATGTGACACCAACAAGGATCTGGTTCATTTGCTAGTTAACACTGTGGCCCAGTCTGTGTATCTGAACAGAACCAAGTAAAACTTGTGTTCATTTATTGCCTCTCCAGCTGCCTGTGGGGGCTTCATCACCAAGCTCAATGGGACCATTACTAGCCCTGGATGGCCCAAGGAATATCCTACTAACAAAAACTGCGTCTGGCAGGTGGTAGCTCCAGCCCAGTACCGGATCTCTCTGCAGTTCGAAGTGTTTGAGCTGGAAGGCAATGATGTACGTAACCAGTCCCTGCATCTCAGAGGTGGGACTCCTGGCTAAATCAGAACTGGATAAATCCTTGGGGTACAAGAAGAGGAGGCTCTGTCTTACTGGTGGAGCTTCTTGTTGTTTTCCCACCATCAGTGTAATTACACCAATAACAGTGACTGTTCTCCTTGAAGTCTGCATTTACTTTCTCTATGGAGTGGAAGGATTAAAGCTGTTCTGTTGTAAGTGGGTGCAATAGTTTAACCTGGTCTGGCAACTAAGCACCACACAACTGCTCACTCACTTTCCCCCAGTGGAATGGGGGAGAGAATCAGAAAGGTAAAAGTGAGAGAAACTCATGGGTTGAGATAAAGAGAGTTTAATAGGCAAAGCAAAAGCCATGCATGCAAGCAAAGAAAAATGAGGAATTAGTTCACCACTTCCAGAACAGACAGGTGTTCAGCCATCTCCAGGAGAGCTGGGCTCCACCACATATAGTAGTTACTTGGGAAGACAAACAATGTCATTCCAAATGTTTCCCCTCCCTCCTTCCTCTCTCTACTCTCCCCCACTTTATATACTGGGTATGATGTCCTGTGGTATGAAATATCCATTTGGTCAGTGAGGATCAGCTGTCCAGGCCATGTCCCCTCCCAAATCCCTGAGCACCCCCAACCTCCTCACTGGTGGAGCAGTACAAGAAGCAAAAGAAGGTCTTGACTCTGTGTAACTCCTGCTCAGCAGTAACAAAACATCTTGATATTATCAAGCCTTTTCTCAGCACAAATCCAAAACACAGCCCAGTACCAGCCACCATGAAGAAAATTTAATCTACCCCAGCCAAAACCAGCACAATGGGCTTCTTTTCTCTGCTAGTTTTGCATAATTGTAGGTATTTCCATCCCTAATACGTGTTCCCGCCTGCCACCTCCCCAGTGCTGCTTTTGCAGGAAAATAGTTGGAAATTAACAATGAAGTAGAGTTCTTCAATGGTAAAGGAAATAACAGTAGAAGAATCTGGTCTGCCATGCATGGTGGAGTTTGAACAGGGCATTCAGGTCTGAGTTTCCCTACTGTAAATTGGAGCAGTGGCACTTTCATAATTCAGAAGGCTGCTAAGGTTCATTCAACACTGTCAGGTTCTTGGATAAGGTGGAAATAATTACTTTTGCTAAATGCAGTGAACCTTTGCTTTTCTGAAAAACACATCCTTTAAGATCAGGGCAGCAGGCGAAGAGGTGAGAAAACTGACAGAGGAGATTTTGGGCAAGTTAGGAGTGCATTTGAGTACAAGGCTGTTTCTGTTCCTTCTCTGTCCCCTTCCTCTGAAACGCTCTGTTCCAAGGCCACAGAGCTGAGAAATCTCTTCCTCTCTTGGCAGGTCTGTAAATATGACTATGTTGAGGTTCGTAGTGAGCTGGCTTCTGATTCCAAGCTACATGGCAAATTTTGTGGCTCAGAGAAGCCTGAGGTAATCACGTCATACGGCAACAACATGAGACTGGAGTTCAAATCCGACAACACTGTCTCCAAGAAAGGCTTTAAAGTTCACTACTTTGCTGGTATGTGACTGTATTCTTTCACTTGCTTAGCTGTCTTCTCTGACTGAACCTCTTGGTTTTGGTGAATTTTCTTCACCATCCTGTCAGAGCCTGACATAGTTCATTAAATCTAAAAGAGTGGTTGCTCTGTTCTGTGTTACCTTCAGCTTGGGTTCTCAGTGCAGTGTACAGTCCAGCTTGATAGTGTGGTGTCAGCAAGATGCATGAATTCCATCAATGCCTCCAGTCCTTCTACAGCAGGAAGCAGTGTGGAACCTAACCCTAGAAGTTATTTCTGTCCCTAGAAGATTAGAGGAAAGCTTTTTCCTCTGAAACTAGAAGATACAGAAAATTTCCAGTAGTGTTCTATACAGTAATCATTCCCATCAAAGCAGCGTGTACTAGTGGGAGTTTTCATCCTGTTCTCAGTCCTTTGTCAGCGCCTACCTTGTTGGCAGGCAGTTCTGGAAGCTAACTATGTCATTTGGAAGAAGAAATTTAATTTCATGGTGTCTCTTCAGCAGAGGCCTAGGAGTATTAATGCTTTTGAGGAGAACGATCAGGCAAAACAGCCTTGAATTAGGACAGGTGCAGAGTAGAATCAGGACTGAGGGTTTGACTTATTAAATCGAACAGGAGGAAGGATGAGGTGGGTATGATTAATCTAGAAATACATTTGGGAGTGAGGAGAAAGATTAATGAGATCTAGGGAGGGAATTATCCCAAGAAAAAGTAGAGATAAATGTCTCATAAATTAAAGTGGACTGGAAACCATGCACAGATCCTATGCTGAAAAGTGAGATTGAGGCATGCATAGTTCTGAACACACAGGAGTCAAGATCCACTGGGGCATATTTCAGCTTCAGGGAGCAGCTCATACCTTAGATCTTTTTTATCACCTGGCTGTTTGTGTTCAGGCAGAGCTATTTAGAAATGGAGGCTCATCAGAGCACATAAGAACTTGAAAATATAAAGCAGATTTTTACCTCGGCTACAGAATTCATGTGATGATTTTTCTGGGCTCTGTTCTTAAAGAATGAGATGCTGCTCTAGGTTTCTTTTAGACAGGAGTCTTTAACTAATAAACTTATATTATAAAATAGGACACATTTTTGGTACATTTTATGGAATGTGAGGCAGTTGAAGAGAATAGGATCTGGGCTAAAAAGCTGAATGGACTAATCCAGCAGTAGAGTTGGAGGTTTGCATTGCTATCTGCCAGCCTGGGTATGGGGCTCTCAGCTGGTGACTGTGGTAGCCTGTGTCACTGTCAACTCAGTGTTTGTTGGTTTGATCCTGCCCAGACAAGGATGAATGCTCCAAAGACAATGGTGGTTGCCAGCACGAATGTATCAACACCTTTGGGAGCTATATGTGCCAGTGCAGAAATGGCTTTGTGCTGCATGAAAACGGCCATGACTGTAAAGAAGGTAAAGTCCCCACTCCTGCTCTCAGGAATGACAAGGTACTTCAAACAAAACACTGTTTGGTTCAGGGCGCTTCCTGCCCTGTGCTGAAAGGAAGTTTGTACAGCATACCAGGCAAGGGCAGTGAAAAATCCCCAGCTAGCTGCAAAACTGGCTAGATATAGGATGATTCCCATTCCCCAGTCTTGCTTTCTATATGCTCACAGGGGATGGACAGGGTGGGGATGAGAAATTGGACTTGAAAAAGGAGCAGCTGTGGGACATCATCATTAGACTAGTCACTGCTGCTTCATTTAATTATTGTGTTTGGGCTAGAAGAGAAAGGATGGGCTGATCTAACCACTTGCTGGTGCCAAAACTGCCTTTCTTCCTGTACCCCTATGTCTGCTATGTGCTCCCATGGCTTTCCTGTATATGGTCTCTGGTCCTTGTCCGACCTCTCCATGAGCTGATAAAGCTCTCCAAATTGGCAAATAATGCAAGGTTGAGATAGCATTAGAGTCAACACTGTAGCGGGGTTGAATCATGGCCCTAGGAACAGGGCAGATGAGGTGAAGGAGCAGGAGAATAGATTAAGGTGTGAGGACACAGGTTATGAGGCCCAGGGCAGTGAGATGGTCCATCTGCCAGGTTAGCTCAAAATAAGTATGGGACAAACCCACCAGAGCTATGGAGTAATACTAAAAGGTCTTGTTTGGTGACTGAAGCCTTCCATATCTCTGCCCTGCAGAGGGTCTCAGTGGGCAGAGAGGACCATGTAGGACACTACAGGGTTGCCATGTGAGACTTGCCCCAATGCGATTTCTCTCTCCCAAGCTGGTTGTGAGCACAAGCTGAGTGGTGCAGAGGGAACGATGAGCAGTCCCAACTGGCCTGACAAGTATCCCAGCCGGAAAGAGTGCACCTGGGACATCTCTGCAACACCTGGCCACCGAGTGAAAGTAGTGAGTAACCAGAGAGTGTGATGCAAGAAGCAGGCTGGGTTGTGAGGAGCTGAGTGACTTCCCACTACTGCTGTGTGAGTGGGAGGCTGATGCCCTCAGGTCCTGTTTGGGGCTCTTGGAGGAGAGTTTTCTGGGAGGCTACCCTGGCTTGCAAAAAGGCAGAAGGTCTCAGAGAGACACAAGGCAGAGGAGAGACAGCTTGGAGGAGACTCCAGCAGATGACAACTGTAGAGTATTGCCATCCATAAATGCCCTCCCACCCCTACCCCTCCTTGTGAGTCACTCTGTTGGGGCCATATCTCCATAAGGTGGTGGCTGAACCAGCCCCTTTGAGGGAGAGGTGTCAGGCCCATTTTACAACATAGCCTGATGTAAACAGCAGGGCATGCCCAAAGCTGTTCAGATGGCCCATGTATACCTGTGTCAAACCATGACAGGGAAAATAATCCCTGTGCTCAGTGGAAGTAATATTACAGAACTGCCCTTCTGGTGTGCTGGGCAGAATTTCCAGCCAGAAAAATAAGGCTTGCAGTTGATAACTGTTGTCGTGCACCCATGTGAGGCAGCAGCACACTGGTATAGAGTTCTGATTCTTGCCACCTTGAGATCACTCTTGTCTGAAAGCACATTATTCTGTTTTAGTGAGTGGGGAAAGTGGGACACATGTACCATTTGATCTGTTTCTCACTTGGCATTTCACCCTATGCTGAATTGCATAGTCAGATGTACAGCTGTCTTAATTCTCCATATTCTTGCTCTAGACCTTCAATGAGTTTGAGATTGAGCAGCACCAAGAATGTGCCTATGACCACTTAGAAATGTATGATGGGCCCAACAGCAAGTCACCTGTCCTTGGCCGCTTCTGTGGCAGCAAGAAACCAGACCCTGTAGTGGCTTCTACCAACAAGATGTTCCTTAGGTTTTACTCTGATGCTTCTGTGCAAAGGAGAGGTTTCCAGGCAAAGCACAGCACAGGTAAGCTGGTTGCCTGCCAATATCCCAGTGCCAAAAGATGTCATCAAGTCTCGCTACATTTTTTACTAGGTAAAACAGACACACCTTTCTCCTAAATAAGCTTAGCCTAAATTTTAAGTGGTGTACATTCAGTTCCCAGACTGCTGCCAATGGCATAGCATAAATACCACCTCCCATAACAGCTCAGAATTCTCTTGGTATTGGAAATTCCTGTTCAGGGTCTTTTGTTTAAATTGGAGGTATTTGGTTGAGCAACAATCCCTTGTGTTCCACATCAGCCATTGGAAAAGGAGGTGATGCAGTTTAGCCCATGTTTTGGCCCACCCTCAGAACAGGCCCACGTTAGGTTGATTGTTGTAGAAGCAGAGCTGTGCTGTGGACAGACACAGCTTGATCCTCCGGTCTGTGGCAGGACAGAGCTGGGCGTGTTGTGCCAACATTCATTTCTTTGAAATCCCTGCCACTGTAAATAGATGAAACATGCTGGAAGTAGTTGTGTACATGACACTGGTGAAGAAGTGCCTTCCTCACTGGCTGCAGGAAAACTCTGCTAAAGCACGCATGTTCTGCACAAATACAGGGCTACTTTTGTGCTTTGTGTGGGCAGAAAAGGATTGTTTTGATCACCAGTTTTCTGACGTGCTTCCACTTACTGCTGACAAAATACTTGGGATCAGAATTTTGTCTACAGGACAAATGCAAAGAGCAAAGTGATTGCTGTCTAATACAATAAGATTTCCCAGAGTATGAGTCAAGAACCCTATCCTGCCAGTCTAAACTGATCACCTCTTTCTGTGTCTGTGTGTGTTCTGTACCAAAAAAACCAAGTTCCTCTAAGGTCTGTGCATCTTTGGAGTCATGGGTAACTGTAGATTTCATGGGTTTATTGTAGTTTGGTGCACTGTTTAATTACCTTTGCTGTTGCACTTCAAGCTGGAGGTCTTTTCTGCCCATGACTGACTCAAAAGTAGGATGAGTCTTTGCTGTAAGAACTTTGAGAGACTGTTTTCTTTTCTCCCTTCAGAGTGCGGTGGGCTCTTAAAGGCTGAAGTACAAGCTAAGGATCTATATTCCCATGCTCAGTTTGGGGACAACAACTACCCAGGTCAAGCCAACTGTGAATGGGTGATTGTAGCTGAAGATGGCTATGGGGTGGAGCTAATATTCCAGATATTCGAGATAGAAGAGGAGGCTGACTGTGGGTACGACTACATGGAGATTTACGATGGGTACGACAGCACTGCACCTCGTCTGGGACGCTTCTGTGGCTCGGGGGTAAGCCATGACAGTGGTGATTTCAGAGGGATCACTGAGGGTGGCAAGGAAGTATCCTCATACCGTTTTTGGAGAGGGGCAGCCATCACAAACTGGTACTGAGAATGCTTTGTGGCTGGGTTTTGCTTCTTTCCTTTCCTCAGGAGATCACAGCCATTTTTTCTGTTACACAGTGTTGGCTGGAAAATTCTTGCTGAATGGCTGTCCTTTTTAGCCCATGAGACTGCCATGCTGCTGTGCCCCAGCCCTGCCATCAAAGTGTTGTGTAAATGTGGGAAATGGATTCCAAAGGCCAGTTTCATCCTCTGTTGCTTCCTGGCTCAAGCCAAGTTATGTTGTGGCCATGCTATGGCAAGGGTGAACAGTGGAGGGTTCACCCTGTGTGATGCTTGCTGCCTTTAGGATGGCATTGCTGTCTCCTGAACTGTCACCTGCATCCTCATTACCAGGAGTAATTCTAACATGAGTAATGGTGTGTGGTTTTTGAAATCAGAGGGTTTGTATTGGATTTCTCTAGTCCTTCAGCAATGAAATGGAGATGTTTCTTATTGAATTTAAAGAGAGACAACCAGGGACTGGGTGTGTGGAAGAAGTTCTCCAAAACTGGGGAAATGGTCTGGAAACCAAGGCAAACAAAGGCAGAGCAGCTTGATGTGAAGAAGCTCAGGGCAGATGGGTAGTAATCTACCTACCTGCACACTGATGAATGAAGAATGGCTGGGAAAGGGAAGCACAAGGAGATTGCAGCAGGTCACAACAGTGTGGGACATAACCAGAATTGTCATGTAAGATAAGTACCTGAGTTATTTGAACCCTGGTAGAGCATCAGCTGCCAAACAGGTTCCAGTTTTCTCCTGAAAAGACAATGACAAATTAGAGTAAACCTGAAGACTGGAATGAGAATATTCAGGGAGGCCTGTGAAAAAAGCATCTGGAAGGACTGCAGTTGTAGACTGGACTGACATCAGTCTTCAAACATGAAGAACAAAGGAATATGCTTAGGAAGGCAGATCAGGGCAAGAGGTACTGAGCATTCAGTCTTCGTGTTTACTGGCCAATCTGTCTTCACTGTGGGCTTAAGCTCTAGTGTCATGGTGCAGACAGTTATTTAGCCTCCATAATTGACCACTGTGTATTGTCTTCCTTCCTTTTCTGCAGCCTCTGGAAGAAATCTACTCTGCAGGGGATTCCATTATGATTCGATTCCATACAGATGACACCATCAACAAGAAAGGATTTCATGCCCAATACATAAGTACCAAATTTCAGGATGCATTGCACATGAGAAAATAGCTTGACTCCTCCTCACAGATATTCCCCATTTGAAGATTGAGACATTTAACTGTGATCTTTGTCTTTTTTTTTAAAGCTTCTGTGCACTTGGCCAAAAGCAGTGTACATTATTTTCTGTAACTAAAACTAAATCCAGTCTCAAAGGTTTGCCTCTGCAATTATTAGCATGACCCTTTCTTGTTAACCTACCCAGGACCAAAAAAATTGTCTTTTAATCATACCTGCCAGGACATAAGCGTTGTATTTTGCACAACTTGCCATGGGGCTGAATGAAGACTGAACTTGAATTGAGAATAGCCTTCGTCTCTTGCATATCTTGTTTCTAGGTGACATTTCCCAAGCATCCACATGAGCTGTCTGAACATATTTTCTGGAGCAAGTGTTTTGGACAGCCATCCAGTAGGCTTTTTTCAAAGGACTTTGTGAGCCACCTGCTCTCCCCTATCTGCCCCAACTACTCTGTGCAATAAGAGAACAACCAGATGGCTGTGCCTGCATCACTCTTTCTGTCCTGTCTATTATTGTCTTGCTTATTATTGAGTGGAGAGCCAGGCAGGGGACAGGGACAGTCTCTTCTAGCTACTTAGATTCCAGGGAATGAGGAGGACTCAGTATTTGGTTTGTAGTAATTATCATGGTATATGTTGAATGGAAGTACTTCAATGCAGTGCCCAAGGCAATTCTGTGGTGGGATGCAAGGCAAAGCTGTGTGATGGTGGCAAAGCTTAGTAACAGGAGTGCTGACAGCATGCTCCAGTTACACCACTGTGCAAGGCAGCCCAGAGGGCTGTGGCAGCAGTCCAGGCCCTGTCTTAAATAAGGAATCTATCCTTCTCACTCTACCCATGCCTGCTTTCTCAGCCTTCTTTACACTGCTTCCTCTCTGTACTGCCACTTCCCTGTGAGCCCTTCCTTTTCACAGCGGAGCTGCTCTCCCCAGGGCTCCCTTCCACAACCTGGGAGTACTCTGCAACTTCAGCTGGCCAGAACATCTCGCTGAAGAAAACACTGGGGAAGTCAGGGAAAGGCAGGAAAGTCAGTCCCTGAGGCAGAGGGACACAGGCCATGCTACAGGTCAGCTTTGGTGATCTCTGGGGACCTGTCAAACGTGCAAGCTGCAGGCATGGGGCTAGGAATGGAAGAGTTCTTCTTGTTTCTGCTTCCTACCCATTTGTCACTGGTGCATGGCCCAGTCTCTTAACTTCACAGCAAGGATGCAAGTGAGATGGTGACTTTGACTTAGAGCACTTAGAGCTACAAGGCTCAGACATGTTCTTGTTTGCTTGTGAGAGCTACCCAGCCACAGGCTTGAAGAATTAACCAGTAGCTTTATGCTTCTTTCAGAAAAAAAAAAATGGAAAAGTGTGTTTTGGGGGAACCACTGTAACTGAGCAGTTGACATGGGAGGAAAAAAATACTTCATTCTGAATGTTTCATTAAGGCACTCATGGGCAATTATGAGCTAAAAGCTGAGGTATGTTAGCTTTAATAAAGTATTTATAATCCAAGGATTATTATGTTTACATAACCATTGTGCTGTCAGGCTTTGGAGTGGCACCTCCTCTCTTGCGTATGACTGTGGAGAAGTGTGGGGCCAGTGCCACTGTCTGTCACAAACAACATTCCTGGAGATAAGGGCTTTTTCAGATGGATAATAAATAGACTCAGCCCTCTCCAGAAATCCTTGAATAGAATATGGGCCAAGTATTGTGAATACTAGGAGAAGCAAATGCATGAAAATATTTTCTTGCTTAGACCAAGAAAAGTAAAGTAATTTATACATACACACAGAGGATTATATGTATATAAAATGTGCATGTAGAAGACCAGTAGTCAAAGCCTTAACAAGTGTAATGTGAACAATACTGTACCATTGACTATAGCTTTATTGCAGGCTGTATAAAATCATGTTATCTCTATTTTAGTTTTGGGGGTTTTGTTTGCATTATTTTAGCTCTGCTTTGTTTAGTTTTCCAAATTTTGTGGCGTTTTTACAGGCAAGACCTCTGATCTCAAGCTGTTCGACCATGCAGGTCTGGGGAAGTGAGCTCTGCTAGATGGGGTGTGCATTTGTCCTTCTCTTCTTTGCTCCAGTTGAAGCAAAATTACAGTAACTCAGGTCTGGACATAAAAATGTGACATCAATCCCTGTGAAACAGAACCAAAGTTTCAGGTGACAAGCAGCAGTTCAAGTTTCCTGACCTTTTAGTGGCAGCAATGACTCTAGAGAAAAGGGACTATAGCAGGTTCCCATGTACATTAACATCTCTTTTCCATGTTCTGGTAATTGCCCATACACCCTAGACTGGTTTGATGCAGATGCTTGCAATGTGGTTTGACAGATCTATGACACTTGTTAGTGTTCATCCAGGTGTCTTTTGTGACAGTGTGTTCACAAATATTGTACTGTGCATTCCAACCAATGACCTATGTAGAATATTTCTGCTGTACTGACTGGACTTTACAGTCAATAATTCTAAATGAGTGAAATTTTCTTAAGAAAAAAAAATGTCAAACCCTCTGATGTATGAATATGTATTCTGGTCTTTGTGTGGTTTTACATTTCACTAACTGAAATAATTTTTAAAGGGGGAGAAGAAGAAGAAGAGGGTGTGGGGACAATCACAAATGTACCTGTGTCCAGAACAAATCTCTGCATTCATTAAAGACGGTGGATTCAGTTGTACATTCTGTTGTATGCATGCATTTTCCACTTCCTCAAGGAGAGGAAATTTCTTATTACATTCCTTGTTCTCCAAGGGTCAGAGCAAGGGTCTGTTCTGTTGTTTGGGTCTACTGCTAATACCAGGAAAGAACTTTCCTATGGGTCTTTAGGAAAGGAATTGGCTATTGCAACCATGGGACCTTTTAGAAAGTGGGGCAGAGAAACAAGTTGGCCAGCCAAAGGGCTACATTGTCCCATGTGTTGCTCACACTTTAGGGGGCTGAGATGCAGGTCTGCAGCGGTAAATATCGGGCATCTGCAAATTAGTCTGTAAGTATTTTCCAAAGGACTAGCTCATTTGCTACACTACAGCCTATGGCCTTCAGCAGCAGCTGCCAAAGACCAAGAGACTTGAAACTCCTGTGTGACGGACAGCAGGACGAGACAGATGTTCCTGCAAAGTTTTAGTCCACCATCCGTGGCAGCAAAATGCTGCTATGGTATCACCTAAAATGCTTTTCTTCCTCTTTCTGTCCCTCCTTGCTAAGGACCATGTCTGTGTTCTTTCCCTAACACACACCTGATTCATTTATGTTCCACTACCCAGAACAGTTCTGTGGTGTGTGTCACAGCTACCCAAACCTTCATGGTATCTGAATTTCCTCCCAGCTGTTCCCAAAGGCAAAGCAGCAACAGAGATGAAGTAAGGAATAAGCATCCCCATGTAGCCTCCTGCACCTGAGTACTTGGTACAGTATGACCCAGTGGCACAACTGCAGACAAAGAATGATGCCTCAGACCAGACAGGCTCATTGGTCTCAGCATCAAGCCAGTAGAAATCTTCCACTTTGTCCTGGCATTTCTAGTAAATGCTCTGGCAGACGAGGTGGTAGCCTTAGAAAGCAAAAGCAGGATTCCCCTGTGTGCCTTGCTTTAATTGCAGTCTTAGAGCCAGAAGCTGCCTTATTTGCCATGCAGCTGGTAGAGGAGATACGGAGGCTCCAGTGCCCCGAAGCCCAGCTTCCCAGGTGTGTGCCAGAGCCTGGATGTTCTGGGACCCAGCCAGTTTGTCTGAGTCAGCCCAAGAGAAATGCCGTCAACTCTTCCACTTTGCAGGTCCTGCATGTATTAGCAGGAAGAGGAGTTTATCCTAAAAGGAGCACTAACCCTGACATTGGGCAGTCTGCTCTTACTGCATGCAGGGATTTTTTGTGAAGAAGCATGAAATGGTGAGTGGGATTTGGGTCTGTGGATGGGAGTAGCAGAGGGACATCAGCAAGCAGGAGAGGTGAGGCCACTGGACCACCTATCTATTGGTTGAAAAGCTCCATGGGGGCGTTTAACCCTCCCATTCTCTGCCCCAACCAGATCAATCAAACTCACTCCTTCATTAGCTCTGCCTTTCCTTACAGTGCAAGAGATGGTTTCAAATACCTGTTTAGATTTTAGCATCTGCCCCCATCCTTTCTGTTCTGGAGGTATTGTTGGGTCTTAGGGGAGTTGGAGCAAGGAGGAGGTTGGTGCCCTAGATTATGAAGCGGACCTCTGCAAGGTCATTCTCATGGGCAGGTATCAAGAGGACACTGTCATTGTTCCAAATGACACAGCATTATTGCATTCAGCTTAGGATATGTTGAATATTATCCCAAATATTATCCCCTGTGTGGTTATTGGTCCCCTGAGCATGTCCTGTGTTCTGGAGCTCTATAGTAAGAGAGCATTTTCTCACTGCCTTGTGCTTCTCATCCAGTTGTTTGTGAATTGTTGTTATTGTTTGTCACGGTTTTGTTCATTGCCTCAGATGAATCAGCATCCCAGTGGGCAGGAAGGACGTGAATATGAATCATTCCCTCCAAGACCTTCAGATGTAAGCCACTTTGAACTTGTTCTGAGCAAAGCACATGCTGCTGAGTTGCAGGACTGGCTCTAAGGGCAGCCTTAGACTAATGGAAATCTCAAGGTAATCTCCTCCCCATAGTGCCTGGGTCTCAAACATGACTGCTGTTTCTGCTTGCACGTCTGTCCATTTGTTGCAATCCCAGAGGAGCAGACAGCAATGGCTTGCCATTGTTTTAGAGTAGACAAGCATAAGAGCTGCAGTCTTCATGGGAAAAAAACAGAGGGACAAGGAGGGATGGACCTGAGATGTGGGCAAATGTGATATTTCCATCAAAGTAACGCTAAACATTTCCAAAGGGAGGTGGGAATTCTTGCACACTGTTTTCTCTGCAGTATTCACATGGTCTCTGAGTGCCTTATAACAATCAATCACAGGAATTATATTTTGGCACCAGGACTATTATATGACCATGATGCAGGGAACAAGAAGTGTATATGTAAATGAAGATCAAGACAAACATAACAACCAGTATCTATGTAAATGAACATCCAGACACAACCAAAGACCACAAGGAACAAAGAAACCCAGGAGAAAGTAAACAGTGGTGGAATATTTTGATGAAAAGCATCTGGTCTCTTACTGAAAGAAGAACACCAAATTTGTAGCTGGGGGTGGAAATAAGAGACACTACCCTTTTCCTAAATTAATTCATTTTAATAAAGAGCATCTAAATCCCTGCAGTGATACTAATGGTAGAAAGGAGCTACCAGAGAGTTGGTTGCAGTCTCCAATGCTCAGGTAAGTGATCTTGCAACAGCCTGCAAAAAGCATGAATGCATTCTTTTCATTTGGCAGACAGGCTGCAGGACACCCTTCCCCTCCAGCACCATGAGCCTTCCAGACTGGTGGTGTGCTGTGACTGCTCTGGAGCTCCTTGCAGGCAGCAGCAGTGAGCACAGTGGATGACAAAGGCAGGATCCTTGCCCAGGAGGGACAGCCCTTCCCACAGTGTGCTGACCACAGGCTTTGGAGACCTACTCTGCAGTGTGGCAGCAAATTAAACCCAAATTAAATAACAGCTCAAATCTCCATAAACAGATTTTTGTTTATAGGATCATGAATGTACACACATGCAGCACTGTCCATCTGCAACGCAAGGTCTTGGTGGGACTCGTGCAGTGGGAGCAGCCACGGGAGCTGTGCTGGTGAGGAAACCAGCTGTTTGATGCAGCCACTGTGCTCAGTGACCCTGTGACACAGCATCGCTGCAAGAGGCTGCAGTGTCACCCAGGGCCTCCTGCGGTGTGGTGGAGTTCTGGGAGGCTTCAGAGGTCTTTACTTTTGCCTGTGTTTGGACTGCCTTCCTGAAGGTCTGGGAAAGGTGGGCTAAATCTCCTGCTGTTGATTTTAGTAAAGAAGATGTGAAGGAATAGCCAGCTTCAGGACACCGGAGAGTGGTTCAGTGCTTTTCAGCGGGGGACAGCACAGAGCTGGTAGGCAGGAGGTACATTGCCTGTCCCACTCAGAGTTGGGGTTATGTTGAGCTCCTGAGGATTCACAACAGACTTCAAAGTAAATTTCTGCAAGATGGTGGCTATGAGTAAGAATATCTCCATTCGTGCCAGGCCCTCTCCTGGGCATATTCGTTTTCCTGAAAGTGAAAGCAGCAAATAGAACTCAATGGGTGTTTCTGAGTAGAGCAGAGTTTGTACTAAGCAGCTGTGTTGCACAGCTTTGTTTATTACACACAGCCATAGCAGTGAGACAACTGTCAGGGTTATCGAGGACATTTTCTAGAGAAGAACATGTTGGCAAAAGACCCCTGACAGTTCGGATGGGTGTGTGAAGGAAGAACAGGAGCAGGAGAAGACTTAAGTGTGTAGGGAACATCACAGGAGTCGAGAGACAGCAGGGTGACATAAAGCACAGGTGAGAAAGTGGAAGGTTGAGAAAGGTGAATAGTTGCATGTAACTTAAGAAGTACTTAAAAGGTGCTGGGGAAAAAGTGGAGCTATCACAAAAAGATTTGTTCAGGACAGCTTGGGTGGTTGTGTAGGAAGGTGACAGGTATTTTAGTGCCAGTGGATCCCATTCACACCATTACACTGACAATTCCTAGCAGGACATGTGTTATGTGTCAGGCCGGACGAAGATGGGAAGTCCACTGGAGATGAGAGCAGTAGGGAGGAGTTGTCCAGAGAACAGTGAGCCCCAAGGAAACACCAGTAGGACTGTGTTGGGAAGAGGCAGTTGTGTGTTGCAGGGAAAGGCAGGGTGGTCACTAGAGGAGGAGGAGGCTGACAGAGAGAGGAAAAGAGCAAACTTGTGCTTTACCTGCTGAGAAGGGCATGAAGAAGTTGCTCTTCCTAAAGCTGCCATTCTTATTCAAGAAATGTTCAGGATTGAACTCGTGTGGGTTTGGAAACTCTTTACTGTCATGGAGGACAGAAGCGAGGACAGGGAAAACCGTGGTGCCCTGAAGTAACAAAAGAAGAGCAGAACATGAAAGGCAGGCAAATTAGGTCACTCAATCTGCCTGCCTGCCAAGTTGAGATTGTGCTTCCCTGTATAACCCTACCAGGGCCTTTGGTTTCCCTTTGGGGACCCTTCTTTAGAGGAGGCAGCTTTAGGGAGACCCTACTGAATGTCACAGCAGTTGTTGGCTGCTCTTCCTGAATTCTCCCTCTTGTCTCCAGAACATTCATCCTCACGTTGCTCTGGTCATCAGGGGACACCCCACCTAATTCCTCTCTTTCTTGGTGTTTCACAAAAATAACCTTGTAGATGCACCATGCACCTTTTCTGCGAGTCCAATATCAAAAGCACACAAGGTTGTGGAAAAAAATCTCCTGTGGAATTCCCCTCTCCTCACAAATTTCTCCTGCCACAATCCTCTACCTTCCCACTTCCTGGCCAGGCATTAACAGGGGCTGGAGTATTCAGCAGCGATGACACCAGAGTTCTCTGCTGGTAGCTCTGAAGTTCTCTGTGTCCTGTCTTATGAGTTTACACAGAGAGCTGGAAATCACACCACCAGCAGCCCACATACTGCTGTCTCCCAGCTGCCCACAGTCACCCAGAAGAGCAATGAGCACCGCTGCAGCGGGCCAGGCCAAGCCATGGGCTGCTCCAGCCCACCAACCTGCCTCTGGCAGTGGCCAGCAGAGACTGCCTCAGAAGTGTGCTCAAACAGAGCCAATAGGTTTGGCTTGTTCCATTCAATGCAAACATCACCTACAGCATTTTGTGGCTCAGAGTCTTTCTGTGCTCAATAACCAGAAACTGAGTTTGCTCCCAAGCATGTGCACAGGCTATCCTGGATGGTGGTGAGCTGCTCCTCAACTTTGCTGCTTTTTGTGTGAAGAATCACTGCTGTGAGTGTTTGTGAACCCACTGTGCTTCCAGGACATCATTATTAAAGCAAATGTTAAAGCTGCAGAGCAAGGGAAAAAAAAGTGTTGGTCAGAGCTACTGTTTTAGTCTTGGCCCATGGAGCATCAACAAGGAAGTGCAAGTCAGCTACAGCTGCTGAGGATAAAACCCTCACAAAGGGCTGGGTGAAAACAAGGTCAGGCCACAACAGTTCTAACTTGTGGCTTCTAACTGACAGCCTAAGAACTGCTGAACTTGAGTGAGCTGACCTTAGGAATGATGTAGTCTCTGAAGGTGGTGTCTTTGGTCACAGTGTGAGGGAGAGCCAGGGGGATAAGAGTGATGAAGCGCTGGATTTCATGGACCACAGCATCTGTGTAGGGCATCTGGGTCCGGTCAGCCACACAGGGTTTTCTTGATTGTCCTACCACCTGGTCAATCTCTTCTTGAATTTTCTCTGTCACGAGAGGCACAAACCATCAAACGGGTAAATAACAAGCTATTTACAAATCACAGATGGCAGGAGCATTAAGTTGGTCTTGATGCTGACTGGAACTCCACTGCTGCCCATGCAAAGAAAATTCTCCTATTGATTTGGCTAAAGAAAGATGTGGACACAGTCAAGTCCCAGAGAGAGAGAGATAGAAACAGAAAGGAGGATGTGGTGTTAGTCATCTGCCCAGCCCAGGGGAACAGCTAGACAGGAAGAGGTCACAAACTGGTACCTTGTATCTTTGGATATTTGAGAAGAAGCAGAAGCCCATATCGTAGAGTGGTGCTTGTTGTCTCTGTTCCAGCAAGGAACAAGTCGAAAGTGCTTGTTATCAGGTTCTTCATGTAGAAACTGGAATTGGGACGATCTTTCTCCTACGGAAAAGGCTTTGTGTTTCCTCTGGCTGAGCTGAGAGAAGTGGCCCTTTCCTCATGTCATCCCATACCTTCCTTTTCTCCTAGCACTGTGGCATTTCTCTGCTGAGGTGCAGCAGCCATCTGGGGCATTGCAATGCTACCTTGAGCAGTAAACTCAATATCAGCCTTCTTTTAGGGTGTGCACTGAATGGCACTCTACTGCTTGTTTGCTGTGTGCTTTCCAGTGAAAGAACTGCAAGACCAGACTGAAAAAGTCTCTTTGTTTTGTTGAAAGCAGAGAAAGCTCTCCCTCTCCAAACAGCTGCAGGTAGTGGTGGCTGGTGAGCACACAGACCCAGAGCTAAAAGCCCTCATATGGGCAATATCTGGGGTATTGTTGCTGTTTTCCCATTGCACAGCTAACTGGGAAGGGGTTATCCCCCTATCTGTGTTACTTATGAGAGGGAAGGACTCAGCATAGGTGTGTTTGAGGACAAGCTGGGGCCATCTGTCTCCTTACCTCCTGCATTTTGCAGAGGAAACAGTCGATGAAATCCTGAGGAGAGCTGGGATCTAGGGAGGCTTGGTGTAACTTCACCTCCTCTGCTACAAAGGCTTTTAGAGCATCAAATTCTGCAAATATATTATTGTGCGGGCCAGGCAGGTAATCCAGGATATTTGAGAACATCTGGTAGAGCTGGAAAGAAAGAAACAGGAAGGTCCCTAGTTTGACATTTGCCCCATCTTTTGCTATCACCCAAAAGCCCAGGAAAGCCACACCCCTGTCAATTGAGCCAAGCAGAAGGACTATGAGGCTGGGCAGTCTGGCAGGTCTTGCTTAGTAGTAGTAGTAGGGACCTTAGAAGTGGAGAAGAAAGATGTCCAGGACTATTGGTGCGCTTAGCTGGCAAAGCCAATTCCAGCTTTGGTGAGGGATGCTCTTGAATGAAATGCCTTCAGTGCAGCAGAGCATTGATAGGGTCCTACTTAGAAGATTGAAATGGAACTTCATTGGGAAGGAGGCCTCCTGCTCCCCTGGGAGAATGTTGCCACTGTGAAATGCCTACTGAATGTACCTGTCCCCAGCGGGAGTTCATCATCTCAAAGATGTTGTTCATGTTGTTCATCAGAGCCAAGAACTTTTTATCTTTATAATCATACCGTTTCCCAAAGACAATGGAGCATATGACATTGGAGACAGCACAGCTCAGCATGAAGGTTGGGTCAAAAGGTGTTCCTGTGATTTCAGAGAAGTTACAGACTATTAAAAAAAAACCATGAAATGTAGTATGGCTACTGTGGGTAATCTGAACTCAGTTTTTTAGTGGAAATATCAGATCAATCTCTGAGTGACACAGAAGGGTCCTCCAAACAGAACAAAACATGATCACAACATTATTACGACTTCGTAATGAGGGGTAGCTGGTGCATGGACCAAATCCATAGGAACTTCATTCCATTCTAAAGCTGTGAGCTCCCTTAATACAGCCTATTTTTTTCAAATATAAAATATATTAAAAATGGACTGTACTCTTTGTTTTGTTGATCTCTTCCAGCAAGTAGTCAGATTCCTCTTGTATTCTCTCTTCAATGCTCCTCTTCCCCATTCCAAAGTTCCGCAGAGTGGTGAGAGAAAACCGCCGGCCTTGTAACCATAGCTCATTGTTGCTAAAAATAATCCCTGCAGAAGAAGGAAGAGGAAAGATCTGTCTTGACCATGCTGCATGTGAGATGAGCAGTGGTTTATGGTGACAGTGAATCCTGTCCCTGGAGAGCACTGACATAACAGCATGCTATGGTTTGGAGGTTCTGTAGTCCAACTGCCTGCTTTTGGCCTTCTCCACTAGATGCCAAACATCCTTGTGAATAATTCATCACTCATCCATACACAATTTCCCTTGCTGCAGCTGGTAGCTGCTGCCCCTTGCCATTTCCCTGCCCATCTTTGAGAGCAATCTGGCTCCCCTTCTCTGCCACCTCACACCCTTTGAGTGGCTATAGCCTTCTCTGGCTTCCCCTCTCCAGGTGGGTTAAACCCACCCCTTGCATGTTTCCCTCATGCAAGGTACACTCCAGCTCTAATCTGCTGAATGCATCCTCAGCCCTTCCCTTCTCCTTCAGAAGGAGCTCAGTCAGCAAACATACCTAATCCCTTGTTAGTCCTGTCTCCAATTGGCATATGTCCTCTGGCAGCAAACTCGTCTGCGCGATCGACCAAGGCTTCTTTCACCACATCGTGTCCATACAGCACCACCACTGGGTCAGAGCCCAGGTGCACTGTGAACACGGGTCCATACTCTTCACTGAGCTGTAAAAATGCAGTGGCCATGGAGCAAATGGTGAGGAAGAGTGGGAAAGTCTCCTTGCTATTGCTTCCCACAGCAGGCAGTTAGCCTCACACATTGGCAACACCAAGATTTGGTTCTCTCATGATAAATGTGGTTGTGGTGATGGATCCCACTTATCAGGCCCTGAACAACATGGCAACAGCAATGAGTGAAAGCATTTGCAATCCCCATTACTTTTCTGCTCTTCTGGAATGGCAAATTATCGAGCCATAGCTACAGGTTGATCCCATGCACGGGTTCCATACATTTCACACCCAAAGCAGAAAGAGAAGAAGAAGTGGCCTTACCTTCTGGAGGGTTTTGGTCATGTTACTTGGTTTCACCTGCAGCAGGTTACCTAGAATGGGAAGGGGAGCTGGTCCTGGAGGCATCTTCCCCTTTCCAGACCTTCCTTTCCATGCTGCAAAGGAGAGCAGGCAAGCAATGCAAACCAGGAGAACAACAGTGACTCCTCCCAGGAGCTCCATTTTCATCTGTGGCACAAGAGGGAGTGACTCTGGCTGTCAGAATCTGAGTTTATATACCAAAGGTCTGTGTTAGCCCAAAAGCAGGTTTTGGGCCACATGACTGTGTCAGTCAATGTTTGCTAGTCAATCATTTGTTAGATTGCCCTGTGTTGTGAAACCAAGGGTTTATTGGTATTAATTATTCATTGAACACACACCTTATCGCAAACAACTGCAGATGCCAACAGAGATTAGGAAATCTGTAATGTGCTCATAAAATTTGCTTTGTTTCACCTAGACCTAATTGTTAAAGAAATCATGCTAGGGGTACACTGTCCTACTGAGGCACTCACAGATATTCACTGTCACAAGAGCATCTTCCAAGTACTTCAGTGATATTTGGGTTTTCTGTTCTTCCATGCAAGCCCTCAGTGGAGTGAGCCATCCTTCATTTTTCAATAAATCTTCCTGATGTTATTAGTAAAGTTCACACTGCATGTGATTTGCCAAAGGACATGCAACTGTGTTTTCCTCAGCAGCTGCACAGCAATAGCCTCAGTCTCTCTCCCTAGGGGTGTCTGGCTTCACAAGAGAGGAAGGTATAAAATACCTATCTAGCAAGGCTAGAAAGTTCTGCAGACATGACAATAGACAAGATAGGACTTGCTGGGTGAGACAAAATGAAGATGTCAGAAAAGGGGACGAGACCTTGACTCTCTGACCTCTTCAAGGACTCCTAGAGAAGAAAACGAGAAAAATAAGCAGAGAAGAGAGAAACACAGAACTTGAGAGAGTCTCTTGGACATGGCTTTCCAAGCTGGGACAGAGATGCACTTGTACAAGGCTGGGTATAGGCCATTGCAACCTGGCAACTAGTCCTTGCACTTACCAAAGCAGCTCATCCAACCTGCTGCTGGAAGCTGGCACACACAGGTTCTTGTTTTGTTGATGTATGACTCCACTATGAGGAACTAGTGCCCTGGAAGTTCCCTAGGTGTTCTGGAAGACAACAGAGGTGTTCTGGTGTGTTGCAAGGGATTAAAAAAGAGCTGGAGGCTTCCTGCCCAAGACTCCACAGGGCCTGCACACTGGCAGTCCCAAGGGCAGTGGCGAGAGCAGCTAGAAACAGCCCTCAGGGCTGTGCTCAGCTTGTTAAATCTGGCCTTAACCCTCTTGTCTCTCCTGAGCTGTGACACATTTGCAAGCAAAACTGGTCAGAAGGTGTTGCAAGGATAGGGGATGTGAGACTTGGTGGGAATTAGCAAGAGACCTGGGTGAAATGACTGCTTGGTTGGGGCATGCTGTGTTTGCTGCAGAGCAGTGTGTAAATGTGATTTTCCCTTTCATTCAGAGGAGCTAGGGAAGACCTCCTTCCCTTGCAAAAGTTTTGTACCTTCCCTGCAGAAGGGAGTTCTAAGTCATCCTTGTTCTCCTGGATAGGTGCAATAATTTACTAGTTGTTAATTTTAAGTTCATGAGAGTTTGCACTTCCACATGAGGTAGCTGCCAGCTAGCAGCATTCATGACCTTACCACCTTGTCTACAAAGTTCCCTTTTTTCCCATGACACTCATTGATCAGACTAGTGGTCCACAGAGAGGTTTTCTTCACTTACCTTCATTCTCTGCATGTCCTTCCTGTCTATGGTGGTCTTGGCTGCTATCTAAACTGATGCTTACAGCTGGGTCACTGTAATGCATGAGAAATAGCAAATGTGTGAGGAAAACATTTCTGAGGAAGAGAGACCTGTGTGTTTAATTTCAGCTAGGTTGCTTTCCGCTTTCCACTTACCATAACAACTTCTTTCAAACAAAACATTTCATTTCCTTGAATTTCAGGCTCATTTGAAGAGCCTCCCATCCCTACATGCTTAAACAGAGCTATTTGGTGTCTGTGTAGGAACTAGGAAAGGGCAGTTACCTGAAACCGTTCTCAGCACAGGTACTCCCTGGCAGATCTACAGCACCTCTGGGGTTGTTTCATGTAGAATTATTCTTCAAGTCCATGTAAACAATTTTGCTGTCAGCAGAAGTAAAGTATGAATGGGTTAAAGTATAATGAAAGTACTTCCCTATAGCTCCAAAGTACTTTACTGATTTTTACCCAATTATCAGCAGGTAACGCAGTCAAAGGAAACATTTGGCTATCATTCAATGATGATGTGATTTGGGCATGCACAGTGCTCAGCTTCTAAAGAGATGAAGCCTCCCTCCCTGCCAAAGTCCAAATGTTTTCCCTGTGTGTCTCTGCACTTTGCTGTGCCCAGGCAGGCTCTGTGAGGATCACTTGGTTCAGGAGGGCTGCTCAAGCCTCAGCCATGCAGGCAGCCTGCCAGGATCCATTGTCTCCATCTCCTGTTGCCAGAGCTGCTGACAAGGTCTTACACTTTGTGGGGCAGCTGTCCTGGTTGGTGCATGAAATTAGCAGAGGTAGGCACAGTGACATTCTTGATCAGCTGGGATCATGGCATCTTGTACAGCTATGCAGCAAAGATGGGCTGTGGGCTGAGGGGGAAGAGCAAAGGAAAAGCCTCCCTCACACTCAGCTGCTGCCCACCCACCATGCCTGTGATGGGGGCTGGCTGGGGCCCTCTGTACTGATGCTGTACTGTGCTGTGCAGACATCCAGGAGCTGGAGGGTCTGCTGAGGGCAGAAGTGTACAGATATTCACAGTTCCATTGCATGAATGCAGAAACATGCATGGAAAGATGGACAACAAGGCATTCACTTTGTGTGGCTGCCTGATGTGTGGCTGGGGAGAAGACTCCATGACACCTTGCACTTACAGGCAGGCAATGGTTGCTGACACACAGAGTTTTCTCTGGGATCACAGAGGGTCCCCTTGCCTGTGTTTCAAGCCCATCTCAGGGGCCCACCTGCCAGTTTTGGCAGTAGGGGTCCCAGAGAGCACACCATCCTGCCACTTAGCAGCCAGGCCTGAAGCAGTCCTGCAACTATCCCCACACAAACACACTGCAAACAGGGCTGTTAGTCCACAGCCAAGAGTGTTTATGGGGAATCACCACTGTTTAGGTGTGCAAAGCTTTCTGAGCTCCATGGTTTCTCACAGATTTTATGTGGAGGTCTCTTTCTGTGCTTTTATGTTAGTACTCTGTGTCTGGCATTTGAATCTGTATAATCTTTTTAAAAGAGCATTCTTGCACTCATGCCATGTATTGAGCAATTAGAGCAGCAATCAGGTGGATGGGGAGAAGCAACAAGATTTCCTACATATCCTGACTGTGGGAAGAACTCAGGGTAGGAAAGAAGCTTTGAAGACCCTCCTAGGTCTCTATAGTACAAATACAGAACCATCTCTTGACATTAGCTCAACTCTTGTCCTTTGGTTTTCTTGAGAGAGTGCAGGCAGACTCTGCTGAGTTCAGGTGAGGGCAATGGAAGGTGTTAAACTGCTGGGCTGGGTCCACCTGGGGACTTCAGGGATTTCTGGTCCCAGCTGGCTCCACAAATTAAAAGGACTAGGCTAAGAGCCTAGTAAGAGAGCAGGAATGGGTGTTGTAGGGTGGTCTTGGGCTCCATCAGGAGCTATGTTCTTCTGGGTGTTTCTTGGTCCCCTGGCTTTGGTTCTGGGGGCTCATGTCAGTGTTTTTTCTGATCCTACCCTGCTGACTTGTGGCCAAAAAAGCTTACAGCTCACCTTACCTCCAGGCTGGGAAGGGAATGCTTCATTTGTGCTGACTACTTGGGGTGAGGCAATATCAAGAGGCATTTTTAGCCATATCTTTGTCCAAATGCAGAGGTGCATGGAATGAGAAGAAAGGAACAGGTTTTGATGTGAAGTGCTGTTGAACTTCACTGAAGTTCTCTGCATCTTGCATAATCAGGGGGCTGTTTATATGACCCAGCAGTCAAGGACTTGGTGAAGTGCTGTGCCTGGATCTTGATGTCTTGGCTGCTGGATTCTCTCACTGCTGTTCCAGACCCTAATAGGTCCCCATGTCCTAGAGAAAGGTAGGATTGTAGTGGGTCTGATCTGCAAAGTGTGACTCTGAAGCCCCTGCTGCTGTGTCCTCTTTCCCTAGATACTGAAGGGAAGGCACATGCTCTGCAGAATGACTCTGGCTGCGGGCTCTTGGTATCAGGGACACCAGATGGCTCCAGAAAAGTATCAATCTCTTATGCTGGCTGTTATGTCTTTGAATGGGTGGGTGGCCTTAGGGATTCTGCTGGGACTGTAATTACTGCTGCTCTGGCTGTCCTGACTGACGTGGCTTTCCCCTAGGATCACAATTACCTTATACTGGTTGGGCTTGAAGGAACAGATGCTGCTGGGTAAAAGGTTCTTCATGAAGAGACGCTGCTCAGGTGCCCTGTGGACCTTCCTGGTAAGATAAAAGCACCTGTCAGAATTTTGTGGTGGTGGTGAGTGCCATTCATTTCTGATGGCTATTCCTAGTCAGTCTGGGGGCTAGGAAAGAGGACTTGCTGCTGTGCAGAAAACTCCATGCAAAAGGGTTTGGACTTAGGAGCCACCAGCTTGCTGGGGACTTGTGCCTCTCTACGGGGTCAGCAAGTGAATATGTTCATTGTGTCTCCCAGCCATATTCTGACTACATGAGTTCCTGCTGTTGTAAATGCAGGCAAACCCGATGGGAAGAGATGAGAATGTCTGACTCAATTCAGAAGGCTGAATGATTTCTTTATTATAATTATGCTAAAATATACTAATATACTACATAAAGGAAGACACTAAAACCTACAAACCCACTTGTTCTAACTATATCTCTAACACAACTCGGGACCCTCTCGCAAGAGCCCAGACACAGGTTGATCTGATTTGCCATCAGGCTCAAACAGTCCTCACCAGAATCCAATCAAGCAATCACTCCAGGAAAACAATTCTCCAAGCACATTCCAGATGAGAAAAACAAGGAGCAGAAATATAAATTGTTTTCTCTTTCTGTCTCTTTGTGCACCTCTATAAAAAATCCTGAGAGAGAGAGAAATGTGCTGCCACGCCTGCAAGTTCAGGGAATGAACTGGAGACTAGGTACAATGATTTCCTTAACTACCAAGAGTTGATCTAGAATGCTTTATCTTGAC